ACCGGGTACGCATCGTCAAAGATAATAACCTAGAAACCGGGTACGCATCGTCAAAGTTAATAACCTAGAAACCGGGTACGCATAGTCAAAGTTTATAACCTAGCAACCGGGTACGCATTGTCAAAGTTAATAACCTAGAAACCGGGTACGCCTCGTCAAAGTTAATAATCTAGAAACCGGGTACGCATCGTCAAAGTTAATAACCTAGAAACCGGGTACGCATCGTCAAAGTTAATAATCTAGAAACCGGGTACGCATCGTCAAAGTTAATAACCTAGAAACCGGGTACGCATCGTCAAAGTTAATAACCTAGAAACCGGGTACGCATCGTCAAAGTTAATAACCTAGAAACCGGGTACGCATAGTCAAAGTTTATAACCTAGCAACCGGGTACGCATTGTCAAAGTTAATAACCTAGAAACCGGGTACGCCTCGTCAAAGTTAATAATCTAGAAACCAGGTACGCATCGTCAAAGTTAATAACCTAGAAACCGGGTACGCCTCGTCAAAATTAATAACCTAGAAACCGGGTACGCCTCGTCAAAATTAATAACCTAGAAACCGGGTACGCATCTTCAAACTTAATAACCTAGAAACCGGGTACGCATCGTCAAAGTTAATAATCTAGAAACCGGGTACGCATCGTCAAAATTAATAACCTAGAAACCGGGTACGCCTCGTCAAAGTTAATAATCTAGAAACCGGGTACGCATCGTCAAAGTTAATAACCTAGAAACCGGGTACGCCTCGTCAAAGTTAATAATCTAGAAACCGGGTACGCATCGTCAAAGTTAATAACCTAGAAACCGGGTACGCCTCGTCAAAGTTAATAATCTAGAAACCGGGTACGCCTCGTCAAAGTTAATAATCTAGAAACCGGGTACGCATCGTCAAAATTAATAATCTAGAAACCGGGTACGCATCGTCAAAGTTAATAACCTAGAAACCGGGTACGCATAGTCAAAGTTTATAACCTAGCAACCGGGTACGCATTGTCAAAGTTAATAACCTAGAAACCGGGTACGCCTCGTCAAAGTTAATAATCTAGAAACCAGGTACGCATCGTCAAAGTTAATAACCTAGAAACCGGGTACGCCTCGTCAAAATTAATAACCTAGAAACCGGGTACGCCTCGTCAAAATTAATAACCTAGAAACCGGGTACGCATCTTCAAACTTAATAACCTAGAAACCGGGTACGCATCGTCAAAGTTAATAATCTAGAAACCGGGTACGCATCGTCAAAATTAATAATCTAGAAACCGGGTACGCATCGTCAAAGTTAATAACCTAGAAACCGGGTACGCCTCGTCAAAGTTAATAATCTAGAAACCGGGTACGCATCGTCAAAGTTAATAACCTAGAAACCGGGTACGCCTCGTCAAAGTTAATAATCTAGAAACCGGGTACGCCTCGTCAAAGTTAATAATCTAGAAACCGGGTACGCATCGTCAAAATTAATAATCTAGAAACCGGGTACGCATCCTCAAAGTTAATAACCTAGAAACCTGGTACGCATCGTCAAAGTTAATAACCTAGAAACCGGAAACCGCATTCTATACAAGAATCTTACTCACACTTAAATTTAAACCTGCCTTCAATTTCGGCGGACCGTTTTGAAGAGAACTATCGTTTTCGATGTAATTATTCTAAGTGCCTGAACATCTTTCCTTGATATATAGTGTGCCTAGTACACAGGGCTCTACACGCAGCTTGTATATAAATTCACCTGGATTCGAGGTTGTAGATATTATATTTTTATGCGTAAGATGGAAGAATCAACGTGCCAGAAGCATGGACACTCTAAATAAAGCTTACTTACATCCGCTATCTGAAAGGCTTGTCAACGCTAAAATTAACTAATCTCCTGTTAAATCTCTTGTCAAGTCATCTGATTGGTTGTTGATAATTCAGTCAACCAATCAGATGACTTGGCAAGAGATTAAATTGATTTTAACATTGATCGGCCTTTCGGAAACCGGGTGTTAGTATTTTATTTCTATTACTAGCTACTCACTCGCTGCTTGGCTCCATTTGTTGTTTTAGATATGATTGTTATTTTTTTGTTTGACGTTTACAAGTGCCCTTAATGGTTTATGTGAAATAAACGATTTGACGAATCAAGATTACTTACATTAAATTGACTAACTCAAAATCTAAAAAACAGTATAATTAGAGCAGCCAATGCAGTGAAGAATTAAAAAAAAATTGGCTAAACTAAACTAGTTTGCTCCAACTCTTCCTTTTTTTATCTCTTGTTTATTGTATTTTTTTTTACTATCTTCAATGTCCCACTGCACTGGGCAAAGGCCTCCTCATCTCGCTTCCACACCTCCCGATCTTTCGACCGTGTCCACCAGTCTCGACGATAGGCGTCTAGATCGTCAAGCCATCTTTTCCGGGGCCTACCCCGCTTGCGGCCTCCATCCTGAGTTGTCCACTGTGTGACAATAATGGGCAAATCTCTCCGGATACATTCGCCTGACGTGTCCGGCCCAGTCCTATTTTAATTTTGCCGCCTTTTGGCCTAAATGTTGGCCTCCTGCGAAATTAAACAAATATATCAAAAACAAAAAAAAAATTTACTGACTCGCTGCATCCGTTCAGTAACGACATAGCCGGGGAATAGCTGATCATTTTCCATAACCTATTCAAAGTAAAAAAAATAATTTATTTCAAAAAGAATAGGCAATTTTGGTTGCCAACAAAAAATAAATGTCAAAAATTTCGTCGGTCAGTCCTCTAGTGAATCTATTTGCTCGTTCCGAAGTGTAGATTCCTATGGAGAAGAACGAGCAAAGAAACTCCATGGTTACTCTTTCATAGGAGGAGAGACACTGGGGAGATGTCTCGTCTGGGGTATCTGATCGGCACATTTATATTAAACTAGCTGCCCGCCCCCGCTTGGCACGGGTCTTACTAACCTAACAACAAAAGGGTCAGTTTTTCCCAATTTTCCCCTCTACTTTACTAATATTTTCTTTGATAAGAACCTTCTCCTGACCTTAATAAATACAACTGGACCAATTAACTAAATTGGTCCAGTTGTTGTTGAGTTATGCGCTTACCAACACATTTTGCGGTCCATTTTTATATATAGTATATAGATTTGCCTTTATGCGGGGTAACATTTTCAAATGACATTTCTCATCCAGGGACTGTCAGACTCTTACTGACTAAAAACCCTACTGTTCCTTCTCCTGCTCTGCGCCGAGGCCGCAGTACCTCATCGCGCTTGCCCTTCAACCCCAGCTGAAAGTGTTTCAGCCGGGATTCTAAAAATAACTCTTAAGCTTATTTGCCTCAATAATAATTTAAGTGGGGGAGAGCCATGCTTCGGCACGAATGGATCGGCTCAACACGGCCTTACAGAAAACCGGCGTAAAGTACGTTGTGTTTTGCAGTGTGAGTGAGGTTACCGAAAACCCAATTCTTCCGCCCTCCCCACATCCTCAATCCTCAAATCCCTAATAGCCCACAAGAGGTCGGCAACGAAATTGTAGTAACTCCTTTCGTTCTACGAGTGTCCATTGGTGGCGCTGATTGCTTACCATCAGGTAATCCGTCTGCTCGTTTGCCGACATATGCCATAAAAGAATTGGTACAAATTCTGTATTTCTGAATAATAACAAAGATGTCTTTTTTTGTTAGGAGAATATCATCCAATGACCTCTCCCGCCCAGGGTAAGGCGAGAGAGAGAGTGTCAGACTCTTACTGACTGAAAACCCTTTCGTCCCTTCTCCTGCTCTAGGCCGAGGTAGCGCTGCCTCATTGCGCTTACCCCGCAACCCCGGCTGAACATCAGTCCTATAGGGCCCCGTCTGTGGTGGTCTATTGGCTCTTTGAGACGCGCGCGGAACGCTACGCGTCGTACGCTCGGATCTGGTTGTAGTTGGGTGACGAGCTACCCTTACTCGCCGTCCGCAGACCCGCGCTCTAGGTGGCCGGAAATCTCTCTCGACGTTGTACAATGTCTGCAGTTTGCCTTTAAGAGAATTGTCGAAAAACGTTTATTAAATGTATTTGTATGTGGTGGGAAATTAGCGTATTAAGAATATATTTGGTACAGTAATGATAGTGGCTATTTAGGACATCGTTAAAGAGGCTCTTCAAAGTAAAGTTTATGCAAATTCTAAAGGTTAATGAGATAAGTTTTTCTTTTAAGCTATGGAGTTTATTTGAGTCATCAGTGACTTCTAGATCTGGGTAAGTTAGTTGTTGGTAGTCCAGTCAAAATACAAATTTGATAGAGGTAAAAATTGAACATAGGTTCAACACAAGAATATGCCAAAAGTACCAATCGGTCTCACGCCTGATTTTTTTAAGTCAAGGTCTAAAAAAGCAAATTGTGCATTATATCCGATTTTTTCTAAATTTATCGACAATAGTTCCAGACTAGTAAAGTTGTAGATTATATATTTCTCAATCACTGGTCAAGATATTGTAATATGAATGTTTGAAAAATTCCTATGTCACCATAGTATGCACATATTTTCGCTCTACCTACGATGTAATGTCTGCGGTTTTTTTATGGATGCTGCTCTATGCAATATATTCCGATATAAGAACATTTTTGTCTATTTCAACTGAACTAGGGGCGAGATGTATCAGTATTTTTGACTTACACCACCCACGTTTCTTTTGTTCCGGTCTGGTTTGTCGATTTCGGTACACTATTGCGTCCATATCCCGACTGGAGATTACTTTGTTTTGGGGGATTTGGATGTAACTAGACCCTCTTCTGTAGGTAGGGTCGAATGTTTGAGTTGTTGGAGTGCGTGGGGTGAAAGTAGGAAGGTAACGAGCTTGGTGTCTGCTACCAGGTGGCGGCGGCGCGCAATGGGAGCCGGTCCCCGGCGCCGGCGGCGGAGGGCGCGGCGTGTGCGGGCGCGGCGCGCGCGTGCGTGTCCCCGCGCGTGCTGGGGGCGCTGCGCGCGCGCACGCGGCACCTGCGCGCCACGCCCGCCGCACTGCGCGCGCTCGCGCTGCACGCCGCCGACACGCCCACCGTCTACAAGCAGGTACTGCACACTGCACACTCCCATACATCATACCCCATACCCCACACCCCACACCCCATACCCCATACCCCATACCCCATACCCCATACCTCATACCCCATACCCCATACCCCATACCCCATACCCCATACCCCAACACCCATTCCGCAGTTACAATCCCAACCATACCATTCCCTATACCCTCATTATGACACTCCCCATACCTCAGTCATGCCCTATCCCTTCGCAAGACCAAACCCTATCCCACGCCATCCCAAACCCCACGCTCCTACACCTCATACCCCAAACCCCACCCCTGTCACGCTACACCTCACACCCCTTCCAACTTACACCATATCCCATTCCCAATTACACCATACCCCAGTCATGACATACCCCATTCCCGAGTCATGACATACCTCATTCCCCAGTCATGACATACCCCATTCCCCAGTCATTACATACCCCTTTCCCCAGTCATTACATACCACATTCCCCAGTCATTACATACCCCATTCCCCAGTCATTACATACCACATTCCCCAGTCATTACATACCCCATCATACTTACACTCAGCGAGTAATCCAATAGCGAGGTAGCTACAGTATATGAACGCCCCCCAGATCGCGCTGCGAGCAGTCCGCGAGATGTCGCTGCCGGACGCATGCGCGGAGCTCGTGCTGGCCGAGATGGACAAGGACAGGTAGTGCGGACAGACAGACTGGCGTCCCATATAGTTAGAGTGGAGCCGGACAGTCTCTCATGGTCTGTGTCTGCAGGGAGGACGAGGGCGACGGCGAGCGAGACAGGCAGAGACAGGCAGAGCCCGACGAGCAGGGCGCGCTCGAGTGCTGCAGGTGAGTGAGCGGGGTGTGACGCGCCCGCGTCGCTCGTGACGGTGGTACAGCGTGTGTCTGTCCGCAGGACGCTGGGCGGCAGCGGGGCGCTGCGCTGCGCGTCGCCGGCGCCCGCGCTGCATGTAGCGCTCGGTCAGTTGTCCACTCTGCTCTCTCTCGCCACTCTCGATCACTGTCTGCTTTGCTTAGCGACACATTGTAATGTCTCAGACCTTGTGTCTCCAGACTCCTGTCGGCCGGCGCTCTGCAGGCGGGACGCGCCCGCCAGGCCCGCCGACGCGCCGCAGCATCGGTGAGTCGGGACGCAGCAGTACTCTGCCTCCCCCACCCCCAGTAACCAATCCCCAACCCCCAATCCCCAACTTCAATCCCCAACTTCAATCAACAATCGCAACCCCAACCCCCAACCCCAATCCAATCCCAAATACCAATCCCAATCCCCAATCCCAATCCCCAATCCCCAATCCCCAACTTCAATCAACAATCGCAACCCCAATCCCCGACGCCAATCCCAATCCAATCCCAAATACCAATCCCAATCCCCAAGCCCAATCCCCAATCCCCAACACCAATCCCCATACAAAACTTCTAATACCCATACCAATTTCTTAACCCCCATCCCCAAACCACAACCCCATTTCCCACTCCCCGTTTCCAATCTTCAACACCCAATCCCCAAATCGCCCCTCCCCAATCTCCTAATCTCCCAATTACTTGAATCCTTAGCCCATAAAAGGCCCGGCTACGAGGTGGTAATCGTATCTCTTCTAGTCATAAGAACAACAAAACAATAAACGAATATTGCCAGTTTTAGCGATTAAAGTCACTCTGTGAGCCCATGTTTATGGGTAGTATTGAATACTTTACACATTATCATACTGTGACGGAAAAGTGGTTCAAACTCTTTGACATCATGACGTCAATGGATGGTTGTCAAACGTTGCCTAGAGATTGTAAATTTCGTCGTGAATTGTCAACACGAGTTGGTGTAATCGGTAAGGCGTGTGGATTACACCACAGAGACCCCGAGTTCGAGTCCCGCCGTAAACATGTAGTTTTTTAGTTGATAGAAGTTTTGTGGAACTTTCTGGAATTATTTGTGTGAAAGAAATGAAAAATCAAAGAGCGAGAAGGAGAATAAATAAAAATGAGTAACGAAATTATTGGAAGGTTCTGGAGTCATGACGATCAAAAAGAATAACGAAATTGAATGTTCCAGAACCTGAACCGGGGGTATATAAGCGGAACTGCGGCTCACCGCTGACAGTTGAGTTCTAAGTCTAAAGCGATTCGGAAAAAAAGGAAGAAGTGAAAAAGAAGAAAAGTGAGTGAAATAGTGAAGTGAGTGAAATAGTGAAGTGCAGTCAGTTAAGTCAGCGTGAACGGCAAAGTTGTGTCAGTCGGCCGGACTCTGTTGGAGAGGAACGCCGATAACTTAACTCCGTGGACGCTGTAACTTAAGTGCAATAGAAAGTTTGAAAACCGGTATTAGTGTTTCATTTCATCCAATCCCGAACTCAAGCCCGCATAGTCAGGAACGTGACGTCAGGCACGTAACATTTGGTGTCAGAAGTGGGATTGGAGAAAAATGCCGCTAGTGCCGCAGGACGTAAGAGGAGTGAGTACCCGTGCAATGGCAGAAGCGCAGCGTGTGAGGGAAGAAAGTGCTGCAGCTCAAACCAGCGATGCAGAAGCCAAGCCTGTGCAGGTGGATCTACTGCTACAGCTGCAGCAAATGATGGTAGAGCAAGCGCGCCGCCAAGAAGAACAGCTACGGGAGCTGAAAGAAGATCAAGCTCGTCGCCAAGAGGAGCAAGCTCGTCGCCAAGAGGAGCAAGCTCGTCGCCAAGAGGAGCAAGCTCGTCGCCAAGAGGAGCATGCACGCTGTCAGGCGGAGCAGCTACGGGAGCTGAAAGAGGATCAAGCTCGCCGCCAAGAGGAGCAAGCGCGTCGCTTGGAAGACATGCATAAGGATTTCACGAAGGGACTGCAAAAGGCTGTCGAACGGGTACAAGAAGTGGAGGAAGGGTTAGGCAAGTTGGAACATCGCGTCAAGGCGATAGAGGAGAGAGTGGAAGAAGAGATCTCCAAAATCAAGCAGGAAGTGACAAGCCCAAGCCCTTTGAAGAGCCGAAGCCGTCTTGCAGCCGTTTTTGAAGCCCCAAATGCGGCTTCAAGTGCAACGAAAGGGCTTAAGATTCCCCATTACGACGGAACAACATCCTGGACCGCGTTCAAGCTACAGTTTGAGACACTTATGGAGGCTTATGGTTGGACTCAGAAGGAAGCACAGTCAGCCCTTACCCTGGCCCTCCGTGATCAAGCGCTCTCAGTGCTGGAAGCTATCGGCGCAAGTGGGGATCTCAGCTTTAGTGCCCTCCTCGACGCACTTGAGGCACGTTTTGGAGACAGCCACCTCGAGCACGTGTACAGAGCGCAATTAAAAGAGCGTACTCAGCGTGCTAATGAGGGCCTACAGCAATGGTCCGTGGAAATCGAGAAACTTGTGCGTCGAGCTTTCCGGTCGACTCCGTCAATGATTGAAGGCACGCTTCTCCAAGCGTTCATTGACGGTATTCGGGACCCCGAAGTACGAGCCGCTGTTCATCTGGGACATCACAAGAACATGAAAGAAGCTCTGGCCCATGCATTGGAAGTGGAAGCCGTGCGTGGTAACTCCCGTACCTTACGTCTGCGGGAAATGACGACAACGGAGCAGGTACCTCCACGCCGTCGGAACTTCATGTGCTATGGATGCGGAGAGCGTGGGCACATGCGGAGCAACTGCCCGAAGAAGGTGAACCGCCAGGACGCGGCGGTCTCAACTTCTGACCAGCAGGGAAACTAAATCCAGCCCAGCCAGGGCTGCGGGGTGGGCGCTGGTTGGTAGTGGAATAACCCCAACAATCTACATCAAGCAAACTAACGATGGAAATACTCTGGTGATAGACGGTCAAGTAAATGGGAAAAACAGTCAGCTAACATTAGATACTGGAGCTTCAAGGACGGTGATGAATGTTCGGCTGCTCGAGCAAAACATCAGGAAACACCTTAAACCAATTGTTGGCCTACAAATGAAATCAGCTACCGGCCAGTGCATACCGATAAGTGGAAAATTGCATGTAACAATCAAAATTGGGGAACGTGTTTATCGACATGAGGTTATTGTGGCCAAAATTCTGGATGACTGCATCCTGGGACTTGACTTCCTGCGAGGGCACCAGTGTAATATCGACTTAAAATCTGGAGTATTACTATGTGGAACTGAGGAAATTCCGATGAAGGGTGGAACCCTAGGAAAAGTTTGCTGTTTAAGAAGAACTGTTCTTGCACCAAAATCACAGACTCTCGTACCAATCGCATTACCTAGGAGGAGGGAAGGAAGTTTACCTCGAAGGTGCGCTATGATTGATAAATCGGAACACGTAAACTCATGGCTACCGGCAAGAACTGTCGTGGGGTCATCTGATGTCAACCGCATTCCGGTATTCAACTTCAGTGATTCAAAAATTACGATTGAAGAAGGAGAGCCTGTGGGCGTATTGGAAGAAGTGGCCTGGATAAGAAAATGCTCGGAGAATCTTGTGAAGAAGGACAATACGGGAATTGACTTTGTAACGAAAATCTTAGACGAAAACAAAAGTCTGACAAAAGTGGAGACTATGAAAGCTAGAAATTTACTTCTTCGATTCTCTGATGTGTTTTCAAGAAGCGATGGTGATATTGGCCGAACTGGTTTGGTGAAGCATAAAATAAACACAGGTGATACAATGCCAATTCGTCAAAGGCCCAGACGCATACCATTCGCTCGTGAGAAAGAGGTTGAAGAAATGATTGACGATATGAGGAAAAATGACGTGATAGAGCCCTCTTCTAGCCCTTGGTGTTCACCTGTCGTGCTTGTCAAGAAGAAAGATGGTTCAACGAGGTTTTGCGTAGACTATCGACGATTGAATGATGTAACCAAGAAGGATAGCTACCCGTTACCAAGAATCGATGACACACTTGACACATTGAGTGGCATGAAATGGTTTTCAACGCTCGATCTGAAAAGCGGCTATTGGCAGGTGGATTTGGATCCCAAGGACAAGGAAAAGACCGCATTCTCAACTGGGAAGGGACTCTGGCAATTTAAGGTGATGCCATTTGGATTATGCAATGCACCGGCAACCTTTGAGCGTTTGATGGAACAGGTGCTGGCGGGTCTGCTGGGCGAAACCTGCCTAGTTTACCTCGATGACATCATCATTGTTGGACGGGATTTTGACGATCATCTAAGGAAATTGGAAAAGGTACTCGACAAGCTGCGTGGAGCAAATTTAAAGCTGAGTCCAAAGAAATGCTCTTTCTTCAAGCGCGAAGTGAATTATCTAGGACATGTTATTTCTGAGAGAGGAATTGAGACTGATCCAGCCAAGACTGTCGCTGTCAAGGAATGGCCAACACCTAAAGACAAAACGCAAGTTCGGGCATTTCTTGGATTGTGCTCGTATTATCGGCGGTTTGTGAAAGGATTCTCGGACATTGCCAAGCCATTGCATCGATTGACAGAGGAGAAACGTGCCTTTGTTTGGGACGAGGATTGTGAGCAAGCCTTTCGAGAACTAAAAGAACGGCTTTGTAACACACCAATTCTCGGATATCCCAGCGCGAAAGGAATATTCGTAGTTGATACGGATGCCAGCAATATTGGAATAGGAGGTGTCCTTTCACAACGCGATGGTGAGCAGGAGAAGGTTATTGCTTACTTCATCAAGTCACTATCCAAGCCAGAGAGGAATTATTGCGTGACCAGGAGGGAATTGCTGGCCGTAGTCAAAACCCTGCACCATTTCAAGAAGTATTTACTGGGACGGAAATTTTTGATCAGAACTGATCACGCTGCTTTGAAATGGCTGCTTCAGTTTAAGGATCCCGAAGGCCAAGTAGCCAGATGGCTGGAACAACTTCAGGAATTTGACTTTGATATCGAACATCGCGGCGGAAGAATTCATGGCAACGCAGATGCATTATCGAGACGCCCATGCGTGGAAGATTGCAAACATTGTGCTAAGAAGGAAACTGCTTTTCTTAAGGTGATAAGGACTGATACTGTTGACGAGGCATGGGGAAATGATGCGATGAAATTAGAACAGGAAAGAGATGCAGATATTAAACCAATACTGGAGTGGCTACGAAGTGGTAACAAGCCAAGTTGGAGTGACGTCGCCCAATATAGCGCGGTAACGAAAGGTTTATGGGCACAGTGGAAAAGCCTTACGCTGCATAACGGACTTCTGTGCAGGAAATGGGAATCAACAAACGGCAAGGACGAGCATTTGCAATTGGTGGTGCCTCGTTCAAAAATAAGGGATGTATTAAAAGCGTTCCATGATGGATCTTCTGGAGGACATTTGGGAATTAGGAGGACTTTGGTGAAGATCAAGGAGAGGTTTTATTGGTTGCATTGCAAATATGACGTCGAAGATTGGTGCCGGAAATGCACTAGTTGTGCAGCTGTCAAGGGTCCACAAACAAGGAGCAGGGGGGCGATGAAAATCTACAATGTTGGTATGCCTTGGGAGAGAATAGCCTTAGACATCGCTGGACCATTTCCAATCACTGATTCGGGCAATCGCTACGTTTTAGTGGTTATGGATTATTTTACAAAATGGCCGGAGGTCTTTGCCATACCGAATCAAGAGGCAGTAACTGTAGCGACGAAGTTGGTAAACGAAGTATTCACCCGATTTGGAGTACCCTTGGAGATGCACAGTGATCAAGGACGGAACTTTGAATCCCAAGTTTTTCAGGAAACTTGTAAACTTTTGGGAATCCATAAGACTCGAACGACCCCTTATCATCCACAGTCAGATGGAATGGTCGAACGCTTCAACCAAACATTGGAACGACACTTAGCAAAGGTGGTTGACAGCCATCAGAGAGATTGGGACACTTACATACCTCTCCTCTTGCTTGCCTATCGGACTGCTGTACATGAAAGTACCGCAAAGACGCCTGCATTTGCAAATTTTGGAAGGGAATTGAGATTACCGGCAGATCTTGTATCGGGCTGTCCACCTGGCGACTCTCGCACCGAGTTTAGCGATTACATAAGCGAGTTAAGGGCAAAAATGTTGGACATTTATGAGCAGATCAGGGAGGCCGGTTTTCAAGCTAGTGATCGCGCAAAGACGCGCTATGATCGACGAGCCAATTCTGTTGGGTTTGAAGAGGGGTCATTGGTCTGGCTTCATAATCCAGTCAGAAGGAAGGGAAAATCTCCGAAGCTGCAACCGAGTTGGGAAGGTCCTTATGAGATAGTCACGAAGATCAATGACATTACTTACAGAATTCGGAAGACTTCAAGGAGCCCTTTGAAAGTTGTCCATATAGACAGGTTGGCGAGGTATTACGGCAGCAACGATGCTCGGGACGAGCGAATCTAAGAGGGGGGCAGTGTGACGGAAAAGTGGTTCAAACTCTTTGACATCATGACGTCAATGGATGGTTGTCAAACGTTGCCTAGAGATTGTAAATTTCGTCGTGAATTGTCAACACGAGTTGGTGTAATCGGTAAGGCGTGTGGATTACACCACAGAGACCCCGAGTTCGAGTCCCGCCGTAAACATGTAGTTTTTTAGTTGATAGAAGTTTTGTGGAACTTTCTGGAATTATTTGTGTGAAAGAAATGAAAAATCAAAGAGCGAGAAGGAGAATAAATAAAAATGAGTAACGAAATTATTGGAAGGTTCTGGAGTCATGACGATCAAAAAGAATAACGAAATTGAATGTTCCAGAACCTGAACCGGGGGTATATAAGCGGAACTGCGGCTCACCGCTGACAGTTGAGTTCTAAGTCTAAAGCGATTCGGAAAAAAAGGAAGAAGTGAAAAAGAAGAAAAGTGAGTGAAATAGTGAAGTGAGTGAAATAGTGAAGTGCAGTCAGTTAAGTCAGCGTGAACGGCAAAGTTGTGTCAGTCGGCCGGACTCTGTTGGAGAGGAACGCCGATAACTTAACTCCGTGGACGCTGTAACTTAAGTGCAATAGAAAGTTTGAAAACCGGTATTAGTGTTTCATTTCATCCAATCCCGAACTCAAGCCCGCATAGTCAGGAACGTGACGTCAGGCACGTAACAATACATTTATTAGGATTTCTGTTTGTCATCTCTTTCCTCTACTTCAAAATTCTCACAATGCAGGTTATATTTATGTATTACATTCGCAATTGGTGCGTGCATTCTATTATAATATTAACGTTATGCACCTCAGAGTCTGTATGTGTTGATTGTCCTGCAATCAGTTGCTGCAGTCTCCGGCTGTGACTGTACACGTCGGAGTATTACCGTTTCTGTCCCGCAGACAGTCTCTGTCGTCGTGCTCGTCCCGGACGTCGGGCTGCGGCGGCGGGGGCGCGGCCGGGGGCGCGGGGGGCGCGGGGGCGCGCCTGTCCGCGATGGTCCCCGACGTGGCCATGGCGCCCAACGCCAACACCCACCTGCTCACTGCCCGCGACTACTTCCGCCATGCGCCGCCCTGGGGTAACTACTTCATCATCATCATCACCAGCTCACGACCGTCCCGTCGCTGGACAAGTCATGTATCACCACCCTACCTCTTACCCCGGGCGTGCAAAACTCCTCCTAGTCACAGACGGGCCCCACAGCACAAACGGGGCCCTACACCACAGATAGGGCCCTACACCACAGACGGGGCCCTACACCACTGATGGGATCCTACAGCGCAGACAGGGCCCTACGCCCACAGACAGGGTCCTACAGGGCTGATGTTCAACCGGGGTTGCAGGGCAAGCCCAATGAGGCACTGCGGTCTCGGCTTAAAATCCTCGGCTACGGCTCGGATCAAAAAAATCATTATTATCATCGGCAGTCTTCGACCGTTCTCCTGCTGAACAAGTCATGTATCACCACCCTACCTCTTCCCCCGGGTGTGTGATACCCCTCCTAGTAGTACACGCGGTGAAGTATATTGGTGTCGCTTGACGTTGCAGAGTACAGCGGCGGCGCAGTACTGCAGCTGGACCTGGGCGACGGCGCCACGCATACTCCCAGACCAGGTCAGTGCAACTCTTCTACTCCATTCCTTCATTGCTGGAGTGTCCACGACAGGTGGACCTCCAAGGGTTACTGATACTTAGTACTTCACCAAGACCCAGACTGCACCAGGAATCAATTCAACTCATTTTTTGAGAGTTAGTTGATGTAGTATATAAGTAGTGTTTATATACTGGATGTGGTGTATATATATATATATGTTGTGTACGGAGGTATGTATAGACGGTACATATGTCAGCTTGGAGTTGTCATACTCACTGAAAGGTCACACTGGCGGTGGCACGGTCACTGGATCGCTCAATTCCCTATATTATGGTTGAGTTGGGCGATGCTGGTGTACGTGTCATGTTCGTGAACTGACGCCGTCAGTTGGGACTGGTCAGCTCCGGACTGTCTATTGTCCTTAAAGTTCTGTTCTCATATAATTGAACCCACTGTTTGTAAAACGAATCTGTATGTGAAACTGATTAAAAAAGAGTAACCATGGAGTTTTTTGCTCGTTCTTCTCGATAGGAATCTACACTTTGGAACGAGCAAATAGCTTCACTAGAGGACTGACCGACAGACTGACACTGTTTATTTTTAAGCTTTGTTTGACGTTCAAAAGTGCCTGTAAGGGTCTAATTGAAATGAATGATTTTTGACTTTGACTTTGTAACATATGGCGCAGGGTCCCGCGCGGCGCGAGCCGGGGCGGCGCACTCACGGCCCTCGAGGGAACACGCCCCGGTCTGTATACATTGATTTTGTTTCACACTATTATTACATTTGTTCTACCGACGTCATCTACATAAAGAGCTCGACTGAAGTGATATCACGGCCACACAGAAAGCTGGCGTTAAACAACTAGGTTATAGTAGGCCCAATCCTCAACTCCCTCCATCTACTGCCCTCAAATCTCTTATCCGTAGATCCCTAACAACAAAGAGGGATAGGTCAGCAAACGAGCTTAAGATTACCTGATGGTAAGCAATCTGCTCCTCCCAAGGACACTTGCAATACCAAAGAAGTTTCTACGAGTGCGTTGACGGCCTCTTGGTTGATAGGGATTTACGCATAGGTGATTTGAGGATAGATGATGGCGGGCAGGATTAGGTCTCCGGAATCTCCGGTAACCTCACTTACACGGCGAAATATAACGTAGGTGGAATAACTCCGGTCGAGCCGACCCATTCGTGCCGAAGCATGGCTCTCCCACAATAGAATCTCTCGATGTTTATATCCAGTAATACTATCAGCAATATACAACAGAATATATTATTACATTCTCAAATGTACAGTTAAGGCATAAAGTACTGCAATGGTGATGTATATAGGTACAGTATGTCAGACTAAACCAGTTATATATTCGAGGAGCCGATTCTCTGTGTTCAAATTACAACAACTTTATACATGCGACCAATATCTCAAATCTCTAATTTCCCCATACAATCCCAACAGCTGAGTGATCATTGTGCATGGACAAGTAAACAGGGAGTTAGATTTCCATATTGGTCTTATTGAAAAAGTTGTTCTATTTCAGCACCAGAATCTGCTCCTTATATATGTGCCGCGTTTACCCTAACACACTGTGTATATATAGATTGTTAGATGTCTCATATATATAGATCTAAAGTAATATAAGGGCCATCCATAATTTCATGATTTTATGACTCCCTCCATTTTGGTCACAGTTGGTCACATTTCGTCGTCACATATTTTGGGACCTCTCCCACCCCATGTCACACTTTGTCCATCCCCCTCCGCCCCCCTTTACGTGTGACGTTCATTATGGATGACCTTATAAAGCTGAACAGTTAGTTGACTAGTGGATCGAGTGGAAGTACTCTCTCTGTGCCGGACAGTGCATGTATCGAGGCAGGCTGTGTAACATGGCGCTGCGACAGATATCTAGTAATATATATTTATTTGTACGTTTGTGTGAGCAGGGTATATCGTGCCTGCGCAGTCGGCCCGACGAGGACGAGCTGCGCGCCGCCATCGAGCTCTCCGTCATTAGGGGTATGTGGACTGGGGGGAGGGGGGACAAGTGAGGTTTGAACCTAGACGAGTTATCATTCACCTTTTCCATTCTCGCAGCATACTCATCGTCTCGCGCTCCGGCTGGTGCAGCCCCCCTCCTGCTAGGGGGCTCGCACCCCCAGCACCCCCAGCACCCCCAGCACCCGGCGCACCCCGGCCTGCTCCCCCCCACGCACAGGGAGCGCTCGTCCGCCACACTCCCCCACGCGAGGGGGGACCGGCCGGGACTCGCGCAACTAGCGCCTACACACCATAATCGTACGTATTGCTGTCTTTACAAGTTGTGATTGTGTGTGTTGTTGGAGAGACGGATTACTTGAAGTTGAATATATTCCAGCGGGGCGCAGCCGGGCCAGCGCGTCCCCGCAGCGCGGCGCCGACCTGCCGCCCGGGGGGGCGCATCATGGCGCCCGTATGTATACTCTACCTCCATACACTAAGATAGTGATTCTCTTCAGACATTACATCCATATACATACATATATACACCTGTCTGTTAGTTAACTTCAGTCTTGCAACATTCGTCAGGGAAGGTTCAAATACAAAAATCTATGTTTTTCTGTCCGTCAGTGACATTATGATGATGGTCAAGCGACAAAGCTGACATTACAATACATTCTAAATGACAATTGGGTAGTTGTCTAGGTCGAAACTGAATTAATTCGTCGTTTCAATGTAATAAAATATTTAATAATAACTATATTTTTATTCATCGACTAAATTTTATATAATTTTTGATGTTTTTTAAGCTTCTTGATGTAAAAATACTATGACGTTATAATTCAAAATTTCATAGAAAAGTATCGTTTGAAACATTTGCATCAAAGTATCGAATCTGACTATTTGGGACTTCATCTATTCGGCTGCGACATTTGTAATAATATATTTGAATAGTTGATGTGTCCCTGACAGTGAGCAGACTGAGCAGCGTGGCGGCGGAGGCGAGCGGGTCCCGCAGCCCGAGCCCCGGCATGGGGGGCCCGGGGCCGGCTGCGGGGGGCGCGGGGCCCGCTGCGGGGGGCCCGGGGCCCGCGTCCCCCCGGCCGCATGACCTGCTGTACAGACACTACAGGTAGGTAACAACAGTAACATGAGCAGACAGTGTAGCGCGGCGTGTTAATGCCTTGCCCCGTCTCCCGGCAGACTGGAGCCGGCCTACTCGGGCTCCACTGCCGCCAGTCGCCACACGTACGCGTGAGGACCAGCCCAGCAGGTACATCCATCCATCCGCGCGTCCATCCACGCATACATCCCTCGGTACTCACACTAGTCTCTGTTGCAGTCGGCCCGCGACTCGTGCCTACACTGCTAGCGACACCCACTAGTCGCCCCACTAGTCGCCCCACTAGTCGCCGGCGACTGCACTCGTTTACAGACTCGGTGGACTAATCAGTGCTCACTCAGTGCATCCCCCCTTCCCCCCTACACTATGGACTGTATTCTGTAAGTGATGCAATCTCTAACGTATAAGGTCCAAAGTATGTAATCTGTTGACCTACTTGAGAGCGTGTACGCGGAGACAATCATCAATAAACGCAGAAACTGCTGAACCGATTTCAACGAAACTCTGTATAAAACAAAGGCCCTATATCCCTATGTACGCTTAAATCTTTAAAACTACGCAACGGATTTTGATGCGGTTTTTTAATAGATAGAGTGATTGAAGAGGAAGTTTTATATGTATAATGACATCCATTAAATAGTGGAGACATTTAGTATCAGGATTGCACCCGTGCGAAGCCGGGGCGGGTCGCTAGTGTATAATATAACAATCATACAAACTTGCGTATTACTGTTGGACGAAGGAATGTTTGTGAATGAACTTATAAACAGTTTTAGCTCTTTATAGATTACATACTAGCTTCCGCCCGTGGCTTAGCACGCGTATAATCGTAAAGTACAAGTTTAAAGCGATAGCTCGACTTATAGCCTATAGCACTCGGGAACATTGTAGCTGTCTATCAGTGAAAGAATTTTGTTCCAAAGATCCTCTTTATAATACGAGTTTAATTAAAATCTGTCCAGTAGTTTCAGTGCCGTATAGACACGCTTATAAAAGTGTATTTGAAACCGTGACATTACGCGCCAGTGGATGAATGATATAATATACTTGTACACGACTGGCTTGTAATGTGACGAGTGACACAGCATTCCCTTACTTCCCCAACGAGTTTATTTTGTGTCCAGAATCATGATCAAATGGGATTCAAAAACAGTAAATAGTTGCCCACATGTTATTCCAGACTATAATCTATCTCTGTGCCAAATTACATTGAGATCCGTTCAGCAGTGTTTACGTGAGAGAGTAACAAACATACATCCGTGCTTATACAGGGTGTAAAAAGACACTTAACGAAGCCGTTAACTACGCATACTGCAGTTCTAACTATGTAGCTTTACGCTAAAATTATCACTGGGAAACGACTTTTATTTTTAGGTATCAAAAGTAATAATAATTTTATTGCGCGCAATGTAAAGCAAACGGGCTTCGTGTCATTGTGTGCGTAGGTTCACAGCTTAGCATTAAAACGCTGTGATAAGTACGTAGGTCGACGTTTTACCTCGCAACAACAAAACAATTCTGTAAAATAAAAATCCTACTGAGATGCACGATGTTTTTTGTGCGGGTCTGCATTTATTTATTACGTACATTACTGTTTTTTAACGAAAAAGGTTTTGTAATAATACTTAGAATTCGTTTGCGCAAAAATAATGCATCTTTGACCTTCAATATCTCGAGAACCCTTGGAGTCCCAGCTATGGTTTTAAAGAAAAAAATGATCCAAATAATGGGTAGAATACGTGGGTTTCGGCTTCGTTAAGTGTCTTTTTAGACCCTGTATAATTGTCGTATATTGCGACGTTGGACACAGAATATAAAGGTAGTTGAGGATCCTGTTCCCGTGATCTCACTATATACACGTGTGGTATATAATATACTTGTATAAAGTAAATTATCGTAATGTTAATATATTAATATATTGTTGTCGAGTCATTAACTACGTTTAAGTGTATTTTTAATATTTTCTATAGCCGTCTCTTTCTATCGTATTGAGTTGGAAAGAGATGGATAGATAGTTTTGTTTCACGAATTTACTATACTTACAATGAAGAAAAAGTTAATAAAATTGGTACATTATATGCATCTCTTTCTAATGTCATATGAGAGACAGAGATGGCTATAGTTGGTCGACGTATAGTGTATGTGTGGAGAGTAGTTCTGTCTGTCTGTACGTCAGCTGTTCTCGTCATCATCAGCTGGGAGACACCTTCAGCTGGGCAACGCCCCCCTCTAGATCCCCCCCACTAAAGTTATGTTGGTAATTCTCTCTCAATAGATGTCGCTGGTGTTGATAAAGGGCTCTTGGATTATCAGTGGGAAAAGGTCTTTACAAATTAATTAAGTTTTCAAGCAAGTCCGGGGTCCATAATCATTGATTTTTAATGTGACATTTACTAAGTTATAAATAACTTCTGAGTGTATTTAGACACCACTGACATACGGTGAAGGAAAACATCGTGAGGAAACCTCGACTTGTAATTAAGCTTCTCCGCCTGAGAAGAGGCCTTCGCCCAGCAGTGGGCACTTATAGCCTGATGATGATGATGATGATGATGATGATAAATTTGTTGTCGCGTTGAGTACAGACGTTCAGAGCGTCGAGTCAGACTGTCAGACGTGTCGGAACATTATAAATATAGCGAGTAAGTGTGTGTGTATGTTCGGACGTTGTCTCACAGAGGGCGCCAGTGTCGGCGTTGTATATTATGTAGATTGGAGCTAGTCCTCCTCCGAGAGGGACGTGATTGCTCGACGCGGGCATCGAACCCGCACTGGAAAACGCCCCGGCGTGAGTTCCTACAATAGCTTAATATATAATTAGCGGTTAATGTGTACATAATGTATTATGTTATATGTTGGATGACTACATACATATATATATTGTATATCTACTGTAAGCACACGACTGTGTGTGTATGTGTCGTTGGAGTATGTCCCTCCTCTACATGAGAGGGGTTTGCCACAATCTCCGCAGACAGGCGGGTTGGAGATGACAGTGCTAAAGGTTCAGGATTCTGTATACCCGCTCGAAGAGCAGCGTTGGTGACAATAGTATTGTACTCTGCGAGTTGTGTGTGTAAATAGATGTCGATGTATAAACTCATTCCGTATGATACAGAGCCGGTAGAGGGCGCCACTGTGTTGTTATGTTAGCATATGTTATGTTTGGCTCTGACCTCAAATACTATGTCCGCTTATGTTGGAATATTTAAAAATAAAATATGAATTTTCTATTTTTTTTTTGACTGTCAATGTCAAAGTCAAATCATTTATGTCAAATCGACCACTATTGACACTTTTGAACGTCAAATTTAATAATTTTATATCAAGAGTTCTGTTATTCATTTTTTTATTCTATTTAGACGTTTCAAAAGTATCTGTTTATGGTTTAGTTGGAATAAATGATTTAGAAATTGTATATTTTTGATGAGACTGACCGTCGCTTGTTGTCATGTTTTGAGAAATTCTGTCAGTAATGTTTGTACAGCTAATTAATGAAGCAACTATCCTAATTAGTCATTCAATCAACGTCCTGAATGACTAGCTGTATGATTGAATGACTATTTCAGTACAATTTTGGTAGTGAACTGTCTATCTGTGATGGTGACTCGGTTTCTGTGTTGGTCACAGTACTAACCTAACCTAACCTACCACACTGACAGCTTCATTGATACATTCAGTACATTTAATGACTAATTTATATATGCATTGAAACAAGTTGCATTCCCAACAATATATGTAACGACACGAATACACGACAATGTTATAAAAATCCCAATTTTATTTTAATTATTTAGTTTCACAAAACTCAGATTTGTATGTGTGAAGTGGCAATGTGTTATAACTACACTAGTTGTGTGTGTCAACGAGCCAGTCTTGGTGACGTGGAGATATGGCGTGATGTATAAACACAATGCCGAGCTGGGGATTAAGTAAGTTGGTTGACGAGTTGCCTTTCCCCACCACCCATCCTTAATCCCTCAATCCACAAGTCCTTGAGAAGAAAAATCATCCAATCAGACTGAGAGAGAGTGTCAGACTCTTACTGACTACAAAACCATCCAGTTCATTCTCCTGCTAACAATCCACAAAGGTCGTGCACAAGCGTCGATAGCTCACTACTCAATACAGAAAGTAGTTTTAGTTTCTCGTCCTTCAGCTAGAGTCGACTGGATGTTGTGTTTATTCTCTTGTACCTCATGTATGTATCTCTCCCACGCAGAGTCCACAGTGTAACTGCATGTAGCCTCGCCGACTGGGAGTATTGTTTAGAACACATTGCGTGTTCAACATTCACGTGAAATATTGTAAAGACACTTATAGTACTGTATATAGGTAGGTACGACACGTTCACAGGATAATGTTTTTATAAAACTTAGCGGGAACTTGTCGCCCCGGCTGTTGTTGCGTCGGTTCATTATTACAATGATTATGTATCAAATTAAAATTAAATATTTATTCACAAGTTTTGGTGTTTTATTGACTGCAGTGTTGTAATGACGTATCTTGGTATTACAGTTCAGTTAACTAACAAACTGAACTTCTAGCTGAATGTATTTACGCTGACAGGGATCCTCGTGGAATGGCAAACTTTTTTTTTAATGGCAGCTGAGAATGGCAAACTTACTCTAATGTCAACAAGCTGACATTTGGCCACAGTGTTGCCAGGATTTTCAAGTTGTCAAGGGTTTATCAACTTGTTTTCTAAAATAAAGAATTTAGATGCAAATGACTCGAATTTATATTGTATTACGAAGAGAAAAGGTTGGCAATTGTGAATGAATAATGATATCTAGCATATGTCCAACACGACCACCCTGGTAGAGGTCCGCAATTCCAGCTTCTTCTTCGGTCCAGTGACACCTCCAGACCACATTACAGTACACGCCATACAGTAACACGTTAAGCATGCAAAGACTTCTCAACAATAGCTCAAGGATTATCGGAAGCCAAAAGTTGAATTCATTGTAACAATTGCCTAAGTTTCTTTTAGGAATTCATCATAAAACTATGTTTTTAAATGAGAGATCGGCAAACGAGCTTAAAGATTACCTGATGGTAAGCAATCAGCGCCGCCCATGGACACCCTCAACAACAGAGGAGTTACGAGTGTGTTGCAGACCTATTAGGATTGGGAGCGGGGAAGATTGGGCCTCCGGTAACCTCACTCACACGGCGAAACACAACGCTGTAGTTGTTTCACGTCGGTATTCTGTGAGGCCGTGGTATCACTCCGGTCGAGCCGACACATTCGTGAGGAAGCGTCACTAAATGTCAAAACTGTCCTGTTGTTGGTGTTGCCCCAATTGAAAAACAAAGCTCTTGATAAATAACCCTTTTTCATATACCGATTAGTGGAACGATATACAGTTTTGAATGTTGATCGAATATAAAGGCTCGCACGAATGTTACTCCTCTGATGTTGCGGGTGTCCATGGGGGGCGCTGATCTGAAGTCTAGAGAGGCACGACAAGAACCACAGGTAAGTTGCCGGCCTTAGGAGAAGGAGTACACTCGTTTCTTAAAGGTTTGAAGGTCGTTTCGGTTCAGAAATACCGCTGCTAAATGGTCATAGTTTTGCTGTGCAAGGCAGAAAGTTTAGCAAAAATCTTATATACTTATTATGGTATATTATGGTGATGAAAATGTGGGTCGAAGGGAAAAAGATGTGGCGGGAATCAAATAAAACAATACTCTAGAGCACTCGCCGTGATACAGGCCCTTATCCTCAATAAATCTGTCTCCTCGAACGAATGATGCAGCTTTATATTCATTAAGTAGGTACTGTATGTAATGTGAAGGTGTATGGATGTAAGTATTAAGCTACTTGACAATGAGCCTCGTTGGTACTCGGAGATGTGTGAAGCAAATATTCAAACAAATATATGAAGCATTAAGAGAATTCAGCATACAATGGGGTGCACTCCCAGCATAAGCATGACGTGAGAGAATAAATGGGAAGAATGTGCATAAAAATGCAAGTAGTCCGACTCAAACGGCGTCTAGATAAGCGCTAAAGTAAAAGTGCATTGATCTCTGTGTGAGTGCCTGCGAGCGTAGGTCGCGGTCACAGTGCACTTGCTCGTGTAAGTGTGTCGAGTCAAGTGTCAGGATCTCCTCGCAGAAGTTGGGTAGAATGATGGCGGCGTAGGCGGCGCAGGCACTAGTGATGGTTCTGGTGTAGTTGGGATCATCAGTCCCCGCGGGCGGCGGGCGGCGGGCGGCGGGCGCGTCCCCCGCGTGCTGGGGGCGCTGCGCGCGCGCACGCGGCACCTGCGCGCCACGCCCGCCGCACTGCGCGCGCTCGCGCTGCACGCCGCCGACACGCCCACCGTCTACAAGCAGGTACTGCACACTGCACACTCTTGCTCATCTCTACCTCACACCATGTCACACCCCATACCCCATACCCCATACCCCACACCCCATACCCCATACCCCACACCCCATACCCCATACCCCATACCCCATACCCCATACCCCATACCCTATACTCCATACCCCATACTCCAACACACCAATCCTCATTTCGCAGTTTCAATCCCAACAACACCATTCCCTATACACTCATCATGAAACTCCCCATACCCCATTCCCAATTTCGCCATACCCCATTCCCAATTACACCATACCCCATTCCCAGTTACGCCATACCTCATTCCCAATTACGCCATACCCCATTCCCCAGTCATTACATACCCCATTCCCCAGGCATGACATACCCCATTCCCCAGTTATGACATACCCCATTCCCCAGTTATGACATACCCCATCCCCCAGTTATGACATACCCCATTCCCCTACTTATACCCAGCGAGTAATCCAATATATGAACGGCCCCCAGATCGCGCTGCGCGCAGTCCGCGAGATGTCGCTGCCGGACGCATGCGCGGAGCTCGTGCTGGCCGAGATGGACAAGGACAGGTAGTGCGGACAGACAGACTGGCGTCCCATATAGTTAGAGTGGAGCCGGACAGTCTCTCATGGTCTGTGTCTGCAGGGAGGACGAGGGCGACGGCGAGCGAGACAGGCAGAGACAGGCAGAGCCCGACGAGCAGGGCGCGCTCGAGTGCTGCAGGTGAGTGAGCGGGGTGTGACGCGCCCGCGTCGCTCGTGACGGTGGTACAGCGTGTGTCTGTCCGCAGGACGCTGGGCGGCAGCGGGGCGCTGCGCTGCGCGTCGCCGGCGCCCGCGCTGCATGTAGCGCTCGGTCAGTTGTCCACTCTGCTCTCTCTCGCCACTCTCGATCACTGTCTGCTTTGCTTAGCGACACATTGTAATGTCTCAGACCTTGTGTCTCCAGACTCCTGTCGGCCGGCGCTCTGCAGGCGGGACGCGCCCGCCAGGCCCGCCGACGCGCCGCAGCATCGGTGAGTCGGGACGCAATCTTCTACCCCCCATCCCCCACCCGCAGGTCCCCCCAGTGCCCAATCCCCAACTCCAGTTCACTAAACTAAGACCCAATCTCCAATACCCCACCCCCATCCCGAATCTCCATACAAATATCCTAATCCCCATACCAATCTCCAATCCCAAATACCCCTATCTCCAATCTCCATGCAAATCTCCTAATCACCATACCAATCTCTTAACCCCCACCCCCAAACCACAACCCCATTTCCCATTCCACGTTTCCAATTTCAACCCCCAATTCCCAAATCGCACCTCCCCAATCTCCTAATCTCTCAATTACTCGAATCCTTAACCCCTAAAAGGCCCGGCAACGAGGTGGTAATCGTATCTCTTCTAGTCGTAAAAAGCAACAAAACAATAAATGAATATTGTCAGTTTTAGCGATTAAAGTCACTCTGTGAGCCCATGTTTATGGGTAGTATTGAATACATTACATATTATCATACATTTATTAGGATTTCTGTTTGTCATCTCTTTCCTCTACTTCAAAATTCACATTTAGTTTACTTGTAGATACTCACAATGCACATTATATTTATGTATTACATTCGCAATTGGTGCGTGCATTCTATTATAATATTAACGTTATGCACCTCAGAGTCTGTATGTGTTGATTGTCCTGCAATCAGTTGCTGCAGTCTCCGGCTGTGACTGTACACGTCGGAGTATTACCGTTTCTGTCCCGCAGACAGTCTCTGTCGTCGTGCTCGTCCCGGACGTCGGGCTGCGGCAGCGGGGGCGCGGCCGGGGGCGCGGGGGGCGCGGGGGCGCGCCTGTCCGCGATGGTCCCCGACGTGGCCATGGCGCCCAACGCCAACACCCACCTGCTCACTGCCCGCGACTACTTCCGCCATGCGCCGCCCTGGGGTAACTACTTTATCATCATCATCATCAGCTCACAACCGTCCCACTGCTGGACACCACCCTACCTCTTCCCTGGCTGTGTGATAATCCCTTCAAGTCACATACGGGGTCCCACACCACAGACACTACAGTGCTGATGTTCAGCCAGGGTTGCGGGGTAAGCGCAATGTGGCACTGCGACCTTGGCCTAAAACAGGAGAAGGAACGGGGGGTTTTAAGTCAGTAAGAGTCTGACACTCTCTCTCGCCTCACCCTGGGCGGGAGAAGTCATTTGACGAGTTTCCCCTGACAAAAAAAACATCATCATCATCGCTAGCCCACGCCGCCGCCCTGCTGGACAAGTCACGTACAACCACCCTACATCTTCCCCCAGTAGTAGGTACACGCGGTAAAGTATATTGGTGTCGCTTGACGTTGCAGAGTACAGCGGCGGCGCAGTACTGCAGCTGGACCTGGGCGACGGCGCCACGCATACTCCCAGACCAGGTCAGTGCTACTCTTCTACTTCATTCCTTCATTGCTGGAGTGATATAAATAGTGTTTATATACTGGATGTGGTGTATATATATATATATATATGTTGTGTACGGAGATATGTATAGACGGTCCTTGTGTCAGCTTTGAGTTGTCATGCTCACTGAAAGGTCGCATTGGCGGTGGCACGGTCACTGGATCGCTCGATTCCCTATATTATGGTTGAGTTGGGCGATGCTGGTGTACGTGTCATGCTCGTGAACGGACGCCGTCAATTGGGACTGGTCAGCTCCGGACTGTCTATTGTCCTTAAAGTTCTGTTGTCATATAATTGAACCAACTGTTTTTTTAAAAAGAGTAACCATGGAGTTTGTTGCTCGTTCTTCTCCATAGGAATCTACACTTTGGAACGAGCAAATAGCTTCACTAGAGGACTGACCGACAGACTGACACTTTATATCTTTAAGCTTTGTTTGACGTTCAAAAGTGTCTGTAAGGGTCTAATTGAAATAATGATTTTTGACTATGATTTTGACTTTGTAACATATTGCGCAGGGTCCCGCGCGGCGCGAGCCGGGGCGGCGCACTCACGGCCCTCGAGGGAACACGCCCCGGTCTGTATACATTGATTTTGTTTCACACTATTATTACATTTGTTGTACCGACGTCGTCAACATAAAGAGCTCGACTGGAGTGATACCACGGCCTCACAGAAAGCTGGCGTTAAACAACTAGGTTATAGGAGGCGCAATCCTCAACTCCCTCCATCTACTGCCCTCAAATCTCTTATCCGTAGATCCCTAACAACAAAGAGGGATAGGTCAGCAAACGAGCTTAAGATTACCTGATGGTAAGCAATCTGCTCCTCCCAAGGACACTTGCAATACCAAAGAAGTTTCTACGAGTGCGTTGACGGCCTCTTGGTTGATAGGGATTTACGCATAGGTGATTTGAGGATAGATGATGGCGGGCAGGATTAGGTCTCCGGAATCTCCGGTAACCTCACTTACACGGCGAAATATAACGTAGGTGGAATAACTCCGGTCGAGCCGACCCATTCGTGCCGAAGCATGGCTCTCCCACAATAGAATCTCTCGATGTTTATATCCAGTAATACTATCAGCAATATACAACAGAATATATTATTACATTCTCAAATGTACTGCAATGGTGATGTATATATAGTATGTCAGACTAAACCAGTTACATATTCGAGGAGCCGATTCTCGGTGTTCAAATTACAACAACTTTATACATGCGACCAATATCTCAAATCTCTAATTTCCCCATACAATCGCAACAGCTGAGTGATCATTGTGCATGGACTAGTAAACAAGGAGTTAGGTTTCCATATTGGTCTTATTGAAAAAGTTGTTCTATTTCAGCACCAGAATCTGCTCCTTATATATGTGCCTCGTTTACCTTAACACACTATATATATATATAGATTGTTAGATGTCTCATATATATAAAGAAATTAAATTTCTTTAAAGTATTTATGTGTAGTCCATGGTGTGTAGATAAAACAGTTCAAGTTTACACTTGGTTATGTATAGATGGCGCCACTGACATTATAATTGTCAGTGTCATTTACTCTGAATAAAGCAGAGGAGGTTTAAATATTATAATAATATATAATTCAGTAAAAGAGGAATCGACAAACCAATTAATAAACTTTAAATGTCGTTTCTTTGATATTTTCAGGTAGGATTTTGATTAAGTATTATTTTGTATTTATTGTAAAAATTTAAATATTATATTAAATAAAAAAATCTTTGATATTTTCAGAGCAACACAATTTATTATTTAAATTTAAAGTAATTTAAAGTACCTAATATAAGGGCCATCCATAGTTCGTCACATGTATTTAATGATTTTAAGACCCCCCTTCTCCCCCTTATCCTTGTTACAGTTGGTCACATTTCTTCGTCACATGTTTTGAGACCTCTCCCACCCCATGTCACACTTTGTCGATCCCGTCCCTGCCCCCCTTTACGTGTGACGTTAATTATGGATGCCCCCTTATAAAGCTGAACAGTTAGTTGACTAGTGGATCGAGTGGAAGTACTCTCTCTGTGCCGGACAGTGCATGTATCGAGGCAGGCTGTGTAACATGGCGCTGCGACAGATATCTAGTAATATATATTTATTTGTACGTTTGTGTGAGCAGGGTATATCGTGCCTGCGCAGTCGGCCCGACGAGGACGAGCTGCGCGCCGCCATCGAGCTCTCCGTCATTAGGGGTATGTGGACTGGGGGGAGGAGGGACAAGTGAGGTTTGAACCTAGGCGAGCTATCATTCACCTTTTCCGTTCTCCAGCATACTCATCGTCCCGCGCTCCAGCTGGTGCAGCCCCCCTCCTGCTAGGGGGCTCGCACCCCCAACACCCCCAGCACCCCCAGCACCCCGGCCTGCTCCCCCCCACGCACAGGGAGCGCTCGTCCGCCACACTCCCCCACGCGAGGGGGGACCGGCCGGGACTCGCGCAACTAGCGCCTACACACCATAATCGTACGTATTGCTGTCTTTACAAGTTGTGATTGTGTGTGTTGTTGGAGAGACGGATTACTTGAAGTTGAATATGTTCCAGCGGGGCGCAGCCGGGCCAGCGCGTCCCCGCAGCGCGGCGCCGACCTGCCGCCCGGGGGGGCGCATCATGGCGCCCGTATGTATACTCTACCTCCATACACTAAGATAGTGATTCTCTTCAGACATTACATCCATATACATATATACACTGTCTGTTAGTTAACTTCAGTCTTGCAACATTCGTCAGGGAAGGTTCAAATACAAAAACTATATTTTTCTGTCCGTCAGTGACATTATGATGATAGTCAAGCGACATGGCTGACATTACAATACATTCTACATGACAAGGTAGTTGTCTAGGTCGAAACTGAATTAATTCGTCGTTTCAATGTAATAAAATATTTAATAATAACTATATTTTTATTCATCGACTAAATTTTATATAATTATTGATGTTTTTTAAGCTTCTTGATGTAAAAATACTATGACGTTATAATTCAAAATTTCATAGAAAAGTATCGTTTGAAACATTTGCATAAAAGTATGAATCTGACTATTTGGGACTGCATCTATGCGGCTGCGACATTTGTAATAATATATTTGAATAGTTGATGTGTCCCTGACAGTGAGCAGACTGAGCAGCGTGGCGGCGGAGGCGAGCGGGTCCCGCAGCCCGAGCCCCGGCATGGGGGGCCCGGGGCCGGCTGCGGGGGGCGCGGGGCCCGCTGCGGGGGGCCCGGGGCCCGCGTCCCCCCGGCCGCATGACCTGCTGTACAGACACTACAGGTAGGTAACAACAGTAACATGAGCAGACAGTGTAGCGCGGCGTGTTAATGCCTTGCCCCGTCTCCCGGCAGACTGGAGCCGGCCTACTCGGGCTCCACTGCCGCCAGTCGCCACACGTACGCGTGAGGACCAGCCCAGCAGGTACATCCATCCATCCGCGCGTCCATCCACGCATACATCCCTCGGTACTCACACTAGTCTCTGTTGCAGTCGGCCCGCGACTCGTGCCTACACTGCTAGCGACACCCACTAGTCGCCCCACTAGTCGCCCCACTAGTCGCCCCACTAGTCGCCGGCGACTGCACTCGTTAACAGACTCGGTGGACTAATCAGTGCTCACTCAGTGCATCCCCCCTCCCCCCCTACACTATGGACTGTATTGTGTAAGTGATGCAATCTCTAACGTATAAGGTCCAAAGTATGTAATCTGTTGACCTACTTGAGAGCGTGTACGCGGAGACATCAGTAAACACAGAAACTGCTGAACCGATTTCAATGAGACTCTGTATAAAACAAAGGCCCTATATCCCTATGTACGCTTAAATCTTTAAAACTACGCAACGGATTTTGATGCGGTTTTTTAATAGACAGAGTGATTGAAGAGGAAGGTTTCTATGTATAATGACATCCATTAAATAGTGGAGACATTTATACTCAGCGTTGCTATTACGGATGGATGAAGGAATGTTTGTGAATGAACTTATAAACATTTTTACCTCTTTATATATTTTATACTAGCTCCCGCCCGGGGCTTAGCACGCGTATAATAATAAAGTACAAGTTTAAAACCAATCAAGTATAATTTACAGCCTACAGCACTCGGGAACATTGTAGCTGTCTATCAGTGAAAGAATTTTGTTCCAAAGATCCTCTTTATAATATGAGTTTAATTAAAATCTGTCCAGTAGTTTCAGTGCCGTATAGACACGCTTATAAAAGTGTATTTGAAAACGTGACATTACGCGCCAGTGGATGAATGATATAATATACTTGTACACGACTGGCTTGTAATGTGACGAGTGATAAAGCATTCCCTTACTTCCCCAACGAGTTTATTTTGTGTCCAGAATCATGATCAAATGATATTCAAAAACAGTAAATAGTTGCCTAAACGTTATTCCAGACTATAATCTATCTCTGTGCCAAATTACATTGAGATCCGTTCAGTAGTGTTTACGTGAGAGAGTAACAAACATACATCCGTACTTATACAGGATGTAAAAAGAAACTTAACGAAGCCGTTAACTACGCATACTGCAGTTCTAACTAAGTAGCTTTACGCTAAAATTATCACTGGGAAACGACTTTTATTTTTAGGCATCAAAAAAACAATTTATTGCGCGCGATGTAAAGCAAACGGGCTTCGTGTCATTGTGTGCGTAGGTTCACAGCTTAGCATTAAAACGCTGTGATAAGTACGTAGGTCGACGTTTTACCTCGCAACAACAAAACAATTCTGTAAAATAAAAATCCTACTGAGATGCACGATGTTTTTTGTGCGGGTCTGCATTTATTTATTACGTACATTACTGTTTTTTAACGAAAAAGGTTTTGTAATAATACTTAGAATTCGTTTGCGCAAAAATAATGCATCTTTGACCTTCAATATCTCGAGAACCCTTGGAGTCCCAGCTATGGTTTTAAAGAAAAAAATGATCCAAATAATGGGTAGAATACGTGGGTTTCGGCTTCGTTAAGTGTCTTTTTAGACCCTGTATAATTGTCGTATATTGCGACGTTGGACACAGAATATAAAGGTAGTTGAGGATCCTGTTCCCGTGATCTCACTATATACACGTGTGGTATATAATATACTTGTATAAAGTAAATTATCGTAATGTTAATATATTAATATATTGTTGTCGAGTCATTAACTACGTTTAAGTGTATTTTTAATATTTTCTATAGCCGTCTCTTTCTATCGTATTGAGTTGGAAAGAGATGGATAGATAGTTTTGTTTCACGAATTTACTATACTTACAATGAAGAAAAAGTTAATAAAATTGGTACATTATATGCATCTCTTTCTAATGTCATATGAGAGACAGAGATGGCTATAGTTGGTCGACGTATAGTGTATGTGTGGAGAGTAGTTCTGTCTGTCTGTACGTCAGCTGTTCTCGTCATCATCAGCTGGGAGACACCTTCAGCTGGGCAACGCCCCCCTCTAGATCCCCCCCACTAAAGTTATGTTGGTAATTCTCTCTCAATAGATGTCGCTGGTGTTGATAAAGGGCTCTTGGATTATCAGTGGGAAAAGGTCTTTACAAATTAATTAAGTTTTCAAGCAAGTCCGGGGTCCATAATCATTGATTTTTAATGTGACATTTACTAAGTTATAAATAACTTCTGAGTGTATTTAGACACCACTGACATACGGTGAAGGAAAACATCGTGAGGAAACCTCGACTTGTAATTAAGCTTCTCCGCCTGAGAAGAGGCCTTCGCCCAGCAGTGGGCACTTATAGCCTGATGATGATGATGATGATGATGATGATAAATTTGTTGTCGCGTTGAGTACAGACGTTCAGAGCGTCGAGTCAGACTGTCAGACGTGTCGGAACATTATAAATATAGCGAGTAAGTGTGTGTGTATGTTCGGACGTTGTCTCACAGAGGGCGCCAGTGTCGGCGTTGTATATTATGTAGATTGGAGCTAGTCCTCCTCCGAGAGGGACGTGATTGCTCGACGCGGGCATCGAACCCGCACTGGAAAACGCCCCGGCGTGAGTTCCTACAATAGCTTAATATATAATTAGCGGTTAATGTGTACATAATGTATTATGTTATATGTTGGATGACTACATACATATATATATTGTATATCTACTGTAAGCACACGACTGTGTGTGTATGTGTCGTTGGAGTATGTCCCTCCTCTACATGAGAGGGGTTTGCCACAATCTCCGCAGACAGGCGGGTTGGAGATGACAGTGCTAAAGGTTCAGGATTCTGTATACCCGCTCGAAGAGCAGCGTTGGTGACAATAGTATTGTACTCTGCGAGTTGTGTGTGTAAATAGATGTCGATGTATAAACTCATTCCGTATGATACAGAGCCGGTAGAGGGCGCCACTGTGTTGTTATGTTAGCATATGTTATGTTTGGCTCTGACCTCAAATACTATGTCCGCTTATGTTGGAATATTTAAAAATAAAATATGAATTTTCTATTTTTTTTTTGACTGTCAATGTCAAAGTCAAATCATTTATGTCAAATCGACCACTATTGACACTTTTGAACGTCAAATTTAATAATTTTATATCAAGAGTTCTGTTATTCATTTTTTTATTCTATTTAGACGTTTCAAAAGTATCTGTTTATGGTTTAGTTGGAATAAATGATTTAGAAATTGTATATTTTTGATGAGACTGACCGTCGCTTGTTGTCATGTTTTGAGAAATTCTGTCAGTAATGTTTGTACAGCTAATTAATGAAGCAACTATCCTAATTAGTCATTCAATCAACGTCCTGAATGACTAGCTGTATGATTGAATGACTATTTCAGTACAATTTTGGTAGTGAACTGTCTATCTGTGATGGTGACTCGGTTTCTGTGTTGGTCACAGTACTAACCTAACCTAACCTACCACACTGACAGCTTCATTGATACATTCAGTACATTTAATGACTAATTTATATATGCATTGAAACAAGTTGCATTCCCAACAATATATGTAACGACACGAATACACGACAATGTTATAAAAATCCCAATTTTATTTTAATTATTTAGTTTCACAAAACTCAGATTTGTATGTGTGAAGTGGCAATGTGTTATAACTACACTAGTTGTGTGTGTCAACGAGCCAGTCTTGGTGACGTGGAGATATGGCGTGATGTATAAACACAATGCCGAGCTGGGGATTAAGTAAGTTGGTTGACGAGTTGCCTTTCCCCACCACCCATCCTTAATCCCTCAATCCACAAGTCCTTGAGAAGAAAAATCATCCAATCAGACTGAGAGAGAGTGTCAGACTCTTACTGACTACAAAACCATCCAGTTCATTCTCCTGCTAACAATCCACAAAGGTCGTGCACAAGCGTCGATAGCTCACTACTCAATACAGAAAGTAGTTTTAGTTTCTCGTCCTTCAGCTAGAGTCGACTGGATGTTGTGTTTATTCTCTTGTACCTCATGTATGTATCTCTCCCACGCAGAGTCCACAGTGTAACTGCATGTAGCCTCGCCGACTGGGAGTATTGTTTAGAACACATTGCGTGTTCAACATTCACGTGAAATATTGTAAAGACACTTATAGTACTGTATATAGGTAGGTACGACACGTTCACAGGATAATGTTTTTATAAAACTTAGCGGGAACTTGTCGCCCCGGCTGTTGTTGCGTCGGTTCATTATTACAATGATTATGTATCAAATTAAAATTAAATATTTATTCACAAGTTTTGGTGTTTTATTGACTGCAGTGTTGTAATGACGTATCTTGGTATTACAGTTCAGTTAACTAACAAACTGAACTTCTAGCTGAATGTATTTACGCTGACAGGGATCCTCGTGGAATGGCAAACTTTTTTTTTAATGGCAGCTGAGAATGGCAAACTTACTCTAATGTCAACAAGCTGACATTTGGCCACAGTGTTGCCAGGATTTTCAAGTTGTCAAGGGTTTATCAACTTGTTTTCTAAAATAAAGAATTTAGATGCAAATGACTCGAATTTATATTGTATTACGAAGAGAAAAGGTTGGCAATTGTGAATGAATAATGATATCTAGCATATGTCCAACACGACCACCCTGGTAGAGGTCCGCAATTCCAGCTTCTTCTTCGGTCCAGTGACACCTCCAGACCACATTACAGTACACGCCATACAGTAACACGTTAAGCATGCAAAGACTTCTCAACAATAGCTCAAGGATTATCGGAAGCCAAAAGTTGAATTCATTGTAACAATTGCCTAAGTTTCTTTTAGGAATTCATCATAAAACTATGTTTTTAAATGAGAGATCGGCAAACGAGCTTAAAGATTACCTGATGGTAAGCAATCAGCGCCGCCCATGGACACCCTCAACAACAGAGGAGTTACGAGTGTGTTGCAGACCTATTAGGATTGGGAGCGGGGAAGATTGGGCCTCCGGTAACCTCACTCACACGGCGAAACACAACGCTGTAGTTGTTTCACGTCGGTATTCTGTGAGGCCGTGGTATCACTCCGGTCGAGCCGACACATTCGTGAGGAAGCGTCACTAAATGTCAAAACTGTCCTGTTGTTGGTGTTGCCCCAATTGAAAAACAAAGCTCTTGATAAATAACCCTTTTTCATATACCGATTAGTGGAACGATATACAGTTTTGAATGTTGATCGAATATAAAGGCTCGCACGAATGTTACTCCTCTGATGTTGCGGGTGTCCATGGGGGGCGCTGATCTGAAGTCTAGAGAGGCACGACAAGAACCACAGGTAAGTTGCCGGCCTTAGGAGAAGGAGTACACTCGTTTCTTAAAGGTTTGAAGGTCGTTTCGGTTCAGAAATACCGCTGCTAAATGGTCATAGTTTTGCTGTGCAAGGCAGAAAGTTTAGCAAAAATCTTATATACTTATTATGGTATATTATGGTGATGAAAATGTGGGTCGAAGGGAAAAAGATGTGGCGGGAATCAAATAAAACAATACTCTAGAGCACTCGCCGTGATACAGGCCCTTATCCTCAATAAATCTGTCTCCTCGAACGAATGATGCAGCTTTATATTCATTAAGTAGGTACTGTATGTAATGTGAAGGTGTATGGATGTAAGTATTAAGCTACTTGACAATGAGCCTCGTTGGTACTCGGAGATGTGTGAAGCAAATATTCAAACAAATATATGAAGCATTAAGAGAATTCAGCATACAATGGGGTGCACTCCCAGCATAAGCATGACGTGAGAGAATAAATGGGAAGAATGTGCATAAAAATGCAAGTAGTCCGACTCAAACGGCGTCTAGATAAGCGCTAAAGTAAAAGTGCATTGATCTCTGTGTGAGTGCCTGCGAGCGTAGGTCGCGGTCACAGTGCACTTGCTCGTGTAAGTGTGTCGAGTCAAGTGTCAGGATCTCCTCGCAGAAGTTGGGTAGAATGATGGCGGCGTAGGCGGCGCAGGCACTAGTGATGGTTCTGGTGTAGTTGGGATCATCAGTCCCCGCGGGCGGCGGGCGGCGGGCGGCGGGCGCGTCCCCCGCGTGCTGGGGGCGCTGCGCGCGCGCACGCGGCACCTGCGCGCCACGCCCGCCGCACTGCGCGCGCTCGCGCTGCACGCCGCCGACACGCCCACCGTCTACAAGCAGGTACTGCACACTGCACACTCTTGCTCATCTCTACCTCACACCATGTCACACCCCATACCCCATACCCCATACCCCACACCCCATACCCCATACCCCACACCCCATACCCCATACCCCATACCCCATACCCCATACCCTATACTCCATACCCCATACTCCAACACACCAATCCTCATTTCGCAGTTTCAATCCCAACAACACCATTCCCTATACACTCATCATGAAACTCCCCATACCCCATTCCCAATTTCGCCATACCCCATTCCCAATTACACCATACCCCATTCCCAGTTACGCCATACCTCATTCCCAATTACGCCATACCCCATTCCCCAGTCATTACATACCCCATTCCCCAGGCATGACATACCCCATTCCCCAGTTATGACATACCCCATTCCCCAGTTATGACATACCCCATCCCCCAGTTATGACATACCCCATTCCCCTACTTATACCCAGCGAGTAATCCAATATATGAACGGCCCCCAGATCGCGCTGCGCGCAGTCCGCGAGATGTCGCTGCCGGACGCATGCGCGGAGCTCGTGCTGGCCGAGATGGACAAGGACAGGTAGTGCGGACAGACAGACTGGCGTCCCATATAGTTAGAGTGGAGCCGGACAGTCTCTCATGGTCTGTGTCTGCAGGGAGGACGAGGGCGACGGCGAGCGAGACAGGCAGAGACAGGCAGAGCCCGACGAGCAGGGCGCGCTCGAGTGCTGCAGGTGAGTGAGCGGGGTGTGACGCGCCCGCGTCGCTCGTGACGGTGGTACAGCGTGTGTCTGTCCGCAGGACGCTGGGCGGCAGCGGGGCGCTGCGCTGCGCGTCGCCGGCGCCCGCGCTGCATGTAGCGCTCGGTCAGTTGTCCACTCTGCTCTCTCTCGCCACTCTCGATCACTGTCTGCTTTGCTTAGCGACACATTGTAATGTCTCAGACCTTGTGTCTCCAGACTCCTGTCGGCCGGCGCTCTGCAGGCGGGACGCGCCCGCCAGGCCCGCCGACGCGCCGCAGCATCGGTGAGTCGGGACGCAATCTTCTACCCCCCATCCCCCACCCGCAGGTCCCCCCAGTGCCCAATCCCCAACTCCAGTTCACTAAACTAAGACCCAATCTCCAATACCCCACCCCCATCCCGAATCTCCATACAAATATCCTAATCCCCATACCAATCTCCAATCCCAAATACCCCTATCTCCAATCTCCATGCAAATCTCCTAATCACCATACCAATCTCTTAACCCCCACCCCCAAACCACAACCCCATTTCCCATTCCACGTTTCCAATTTCAACCCCCAATTCCCAAATCGCACCTCCCCAATCTCCTAATCTCTCAATTACTCGAATCCTTAACCCCTAAAAGGCCCGGCAACGAGGTGGTAATCGTATCTCTTCTAGTCGTAAAAAGCAACAAAACAATAAATGAATATTGTCAGTTTTAGCGATTAAAGTCACTCTGTGAGCCCATGTTTATGGGTAGTATTGAATACATTACATATTATCATACATTTATTAGGATTTCTGTTTGTCATCTCTTTCCTCTACTTCAAAATTCACATTTAGTTTACTTGTAGATACTCACAATGCACATTATATTTATGTATTACATTCGCAATTGGTGCGTGCATTCTATTATAATATTAACGTTATGCACCTCAGAGTCTGTATGTGTTGATTGTCCTGCAATCAGTTGCTGCAGTCTCCGGCTGTGACTGTACACGTCGGAGTATTACCGTTTCTGTCCCGCAGACAGTCTCTGTCGTCGTGCTCGTCCCGGACGTCGGGCTGCGGCAGCGGGGGCGCGGCCGGGGGCGCGGGGGGCGCGGGGGCGCGCCTGTCCGCGATGGTCCCCGACGTGGCCATGGCGCCCAACGCCAACACCCACCTGCTCACTGCCCGCGACTACTTCCGCCATGCGCCGCCCTGGGGTAACTACTTTATCATCATCATCATCAGCTCACAACCGTCCCACTGCTGGACACCACCCTACCTCTTCCCTGGCTGTGTGATAATCCCTTCAAGTCACATACGGGGTCCCACACCACAGACACTACAGTGCTGATGTTCAGCCAGGGTTGCGGGGTAAGCGCAATGTGGCACTGCGACCTTGGCCTAAAACAGGAGAAGGAACGGGGGGTTTTAAGTCAGTAAGAGTCTGACACTCTCTCTCGCCTCACCCTGGGCGGGAGAAGTCATTTGACGAGTTTCCCCTGACAAAAAAAACATCATCATCATCGCTAGCCCACGCCGCCGCCCTGCTGGACAAGTCACGTACAACCACCCTACATCTTCCCCCAGTAGTAGGTACACGCGGTAAAGTATATTGGTGTCGCTTGACGTTGCAGAGTACAGCGGCGGCGCAGTACTGCAGCTGGACCTGGGCGACGGCGCCACGCATACTCCCAGACCAGGTCAGTGCTACTCTTCTACTTCATTCCTTCATTGCTGGAGTGATATAAATAGTGTTTATATACTGGATGTGGTGTATATATATATATATATATGTTGTGTACGGAGATATGTATAGACGGTCCTTGTGTCAGCTTTGAGTTGTCATGCTCACTGAAAGGTCGCATTGGCGGTGGCACGGTCACTGGATCGCTCGATTCCCTATATTATGGTTGAGTTGGGCGATGCTGGTGTACGTGTCATGCTCGTGAACGGACGCCGTCAATTGGGACTGGTCAGCTCCGGACTGTCTATTGTCCTTAAAGTTCTGTTGTCATATAATTGAACCAACTGTTTTTTTAAAAAGAGTAACCATGGAGTTTGTTGCTCGTTCTTCTCCATAGGAATCTACACTTTGGAACGAGCAAATAGCTTCACTAGAGGACTGACCGACAGACTGACACTTTATATCTTTAAGCTTTGTTTGACGTTCAAAAGTGTCTGTAAGGGTCTAATTGAAATAATGATTTTTGACTATGATTTTGACTTTGTAACATATTGCGCAGGGTCCCGCGCGGCGCGAGCCGGGGCGGCGCACTCACGGCCCTCGAGGGAACACGCCCCGGTCTGTATACATTGATTTTGTTTCACACTATTATTACATTTGTTGTACCGACGTCGTCAACATAAAGAGCTCGACTGGAGTGATACCACGGCCTCACAGAAAGCTGGCGTTAAACAACTAGGTTATAGGAGGCGCAATCCTCAACTCCCTCCATCTACTGCCCTCAAATCTCTTATCCGTAGATCCCTAACAACAAAGAGGGATAGGTCAGCAAACGAGCTTAAGATTACCTGATGGTAAGCAATCTGCTCCTCCCAAGGACACTTGCAATACCAAAGAAGTTTCTACGAGTGCGTTGACGGCCTCTTGGTTGATAGGGATTTACGCATAGGTGATTTGAGGATAGATGATGGCGGGCAGGATTAGGTCTCCGGAATCTCCGGTAACCTCACTTACACGGCGAAATATAACGTAGGTGGAATAACTCCGGTCGAGCCGACCCATTCGTGCCGAAGCATGGCTCTCCCACAATAGAATCTCTCGATGTTTATATCCAGTAATACTATCAGCAATATACAACAGAATATATTATTACATTCTCAAATGTACTGCAATGGTGATGTATATATAGTATGTCAGACTAAACCAGTTACATATTCGAGGAGCCGATTCTCGGTGTTCAAATTACAACAACTTTATACATGCGACCAATATCTCAAATCTCTAATTTCCCCATACAATCGCAACAGCTGAGTGATCATTGTGCATGGACTAGTAAACAAGGAGTTAGGTTTCCATATTGGTCTTATTGAAAAAGTTGTTCTATTTCAGCACCAGAATCTGCTCCTTATATATGTGCCTCGTTTACCTTAACACACTATATATATATATAGATTGTTAGATGTCTCATATATATAAAGAAATTAAATTTCTTTAAAGTATTTATGTGTAGTCCATGGTGTGTAGATAAAACAGTTCAAGTTTACACTTGGTTATGTATAGATGGCGCCACTGACATTATAATTGTCAGTGTCATTTACTCTGAATAAAGCAGAGGAGGTTTAAATATTATAATAATATATAATTCAGTAAAAGAGGAATCGACAAACCAATTAATAAACTTTAAATGTCGTTTCTTTGATATTTTCAGGTAGGATTTTGATTAAGTATTATTTTGTATTTATTGTAAAAATTTAAATATTATATTAAATAAAAAAATCTTTGATATTTTCAGAGCAACACAATTTATTATTTAAATTTAAAGTAATTTAAAGTACCTAATATAAGGGCCATCCATAGTTCGTCACATGTATTTAATGATTTTAAGACCCCCCTTCTCCCCCTTATCCTTGTTACAGTTGGTCACATTTCTTCGTCACATGTTTTGAGACCTCTCCCACCCCATGTCACACTTTGTCGATCCCGTCCCTGCCCCCCTTTACGTGTGACGTTAATTATGGATGCCCCCTTATAAAGCTGAACAGTTAGTTGACTAGTGGATCGAGTGGAAGTACTCTCTCTGTGCCGGACAGTGCATGTATCGAGGCAGGCTGTGTAACATGGCGCTGCGACAGATATCTAGTAATATATATTTATTTGTACGTTTGTGTGAGCAGGGTATATCGTGCCTGCGCAGTCGGCCCGACGAGGACGAGCTGCGCGCCGCCATCGAGCTCTCCGTCATTAGGGGTATGTGGACTGGGGGGAGGAGGGACAAGTGAGGTTTGAACCTAGGCGAGCTATCATTCACCTTTTCCGTTCTCCAGCATACTCATCGTCCCGCGCTCCAGCTGGTGCAGCCCCCCTCCTGCTAGGGGGCTCGCACCCCCAACACCCCCAGCACCCCCAGCACCCCGGCCTGCTCCCCCCCACGCACAGGGAGCGCTCGTCCGCCACACTCCCCCACGCGAGGGGGGACCGGCCGGGACTCGCGCAACTAGCGCCTACACACCATAATCGTACGTATTGCTGTCTTTACAAGTTGTGATTGTGTGTGTTGTTGGAGAGACGGATTACTTGAAGTTGAATATATTCCAGCGGGGCGCAGCCGGGCCAGCGCGTCCCCGCAGCGCGGCGCCGACCTGCCGCCCGGGGGGGCGCATCATGGCGCCCGTATGTATACTCTACCTCCATACACTAAGATAGTGATTCTCTTCAGACATTACATCCATATACATATATACACTGTCTGTTAGTTAACTTCAGTCTTGCAACATTCGTCAGGGAAGGTTCAAATACAAAAACTATATTTTTCTGTCCGTCAGTGACATTATGATGATAGTCAAGCGACATGGCTGACATTACAATACATTCTACATGACAAGGTAGTTGTCTAGGTCGAAACTGAATTAATTCGTCGTTTCAATGTAATAAAATATTTAATAATAACTATATTTTTATTCATCGACTAAATTTTATATAATTATTGATGTTTTTTAAGCTTCTTGATGTAAAAATACTATGACGTTATAATTCAAAATTTCATAGAAAAGTATCGTTTGAAACATTTGCATAAAAGTATGAATCTGACTATTTGGGACTGCATCTATGCGGCTGCGACATTTGTAATAATATATTTGAATAGTTGATGTGTCCCTGACAGTGAGCAGACTGAGCAGCGTGGCGGCGGAGGCGAGCGGGTCCCGCAGCCCGAGCCCCGGCATGGGGGGCCCGGGGCCGGCTGCGGGGGGCGCGGGGCCCGCTGCGGGGGGCCCGGGGCCCGCGTCCCCCCGGCCGCATGACCTGCTGTACAGACACTACAGGTAGGTAACAACAGTAACATGAGCAGACAGTGTAGCGCGGCGTGTTAATGCCTTGCCCCGTCTCCCGGCAGACTGGAGCCGGCCTACTCGGGCTCCACTGCCGCCAGTCGCCACACGTACGCGTGAGGACCAGCCCAGCAGGTACATCCATCCATCCGCGCGTCCATCCACGCATACATCCCTCGGTACTCACACTAGTCTCTGTTGCAGTCGGCCCGCGACTCGTGCCTACACTGCTAGCGACACCCACTAGTCGCCCCACTAGTCGCCCCACTAGTCGCCGGCGACTGCACTCGTTAACAGACTCGGTGGACTAATCAGTGCTCACTCAGTGCATCCCCCCTCCCCCCCTACACTATGGACTGTATTGTGTAAGTGATGCAATCTCTAACGTATAAGGTCCAAAGTATGTAATCTGTTGACCTACTTGAGAGCGTGTACGCGGAGACATCAATAAACACAGAAACTGCTGAACCGATTTCAATGAGACTCTGTATAAAACAAAGGCCCTATATCCCTATGTACGCTTAAATCTTTAAAACTACGCAACGGATTTTGATGCGGTTTTTTAATAGACAGAGTGATTGAAGAGGAAGGTTTCTATGTATAATGACATCCATTAAATAGTGGAGACATTTATACTCAGCGTTGCTATTACGGATGGATGAAGGAATGTTTGTGAATGAACTTATAAACATTTTTACCTCTTTATATATTTTATACTAGCTCCCGCCCGGGGCTTAGCACGCGTATAATAATAAAGTACAAGTTTAAAACCAATCAAGTATAATTTACAGCCTACAGCACTCGGGAACATTGTAGCTGTCTATCAGTGAAAGAATTTTGTTCCAAAGATCCTCTTTATAATATGAGTTTAATTAAAATCTGTCCAGTAGTTTCAGTGCCGTATAGACACGCTTATAAAAGTGTATTTGAAAACGTGACATTACGCGCCAGTGGATGAATGATATAATATACTTGTACACGACTGGCTTGTAATGTGACGAGTGATAAAGCATTCCCTTACTTCCCCAACGAGTTTATTTTGTGTCCAGAATCATGATCAAATGATATTCAAAAACAGTAAATAGTTGCCTAAACGTTATTCCAGACTATAATCTATCTCTGTGCCAAATTACATTGAGATCCGTTCAGTAGTGTTTACGTGAGAGAGTAACAAACATACATCCGTACTTATACAGGATGTAAAAAGAAACTTAACGAAGCCGTTAACTACGCATACTGCAGTTCTAACTAAGTAGCTTTACGCTAAAATTATCACTGGGAAACGACTTTTATTTTTAGGCATCAAAAAAACAATTTATTGCGCGCGATGTAAAGCAAACGGGCTTCGTGTCATTGTGTGCGTAGGTTCACAGCTTAGCATTAAAACGCTGTGATAAGTACGTAGGTCGACGTTTTACCTCGCAACAACAAAACAATTCTGTAAAATAAAAATCCTACTGAGATGCACGATGTTTTTTGTGCGGGTCTGCATTTATTTATTACGTACATTACTGTTTTTTAACGAAAAAGGTTTTGTAATAATACTTAGAATTCGTTTGCGCAAAAATAATGCATCTTTGACCTTCAATATCTCGAGAACCCTTGGAGTCCCAGCTATGGTTTTAAAGAAAAAAATGATCCAAATAATGGGTAGAATACGTGGGTTTCGGCTTCGTTAAGTGTCTTTTTAGACCCTGTATAATTGTCGTATATTGCGACGTTGGACACAGAATATAAAGGTAGTTGAGGATCCTGTTCCCGTGATCTCACTATATACACGTGTGGTATATAATATACTTGTATAAAGTAAATTATCGTAATGTTAATATATTAATATATTGTTGTCGAGTCATTAACTACGTTTAAGTGTATTTTTAATATTTTCTATAGCCGTCTCTTTCTATCGTATTGAGTTGGAAAGAGATGGATAGATAGTTTTGTTTCACGAATTTACTATACTTACAATGAAGAAAAAGTTAATAAAATTGGTACATTATATGCATCTCTTTCTAATGTCATATGAGAGACAGAGATGGCTATAGTTGGTCGACGTATAGTGTATGTGTGGAGAGTAGTTCTGTCTGTCTGTACGTCAGCTGTTCTCGTCATCATCAGCTGGGAGACACCTTCAGCTGGGCAACGCCCCCCTCTAGATCCCCCCCACTAAAGTTATGTTGGTAATTCTCTCTCAATAGATGTCGCTGGTGTTGATAAAGGGCTCTTGGATTATCAGTGGGAAAAGGTCTTTACAAATTAATTAAGTTTTCAAGCAAGTCCGGGGTCCATAATCATTGATTTTTAATGTGACATTTACTAAGTTATAAATAACTTCTGAGTGTATTTAGACACCACTGACATACGGTGAAGGAAAACATCGTGAGGAAACCTCGACTTGTAATTAAGCTTCTCCGCCTGAGAAGAGGCCTTCGCCCAGCAGTGGGCACTTATAGCCTGATGATGATGATGATGATGATGATGATAAATTTGTTGTCGCGTTGAGTACAGACGTTCAGAGCGTCGAGTCAGACTGTCAGACGTGTCGGAACATTATAAATATAGCGAGTAAGTGTGTGTGTATGTTCGGACGTTGTCTCACAGAGGGCGCCAGTGTCGGCGTTGTATATTATGTAGATTGGAGCTAGTCCTCCTCCGAGAGGGACGTGATTGCTCGACGCGGGCATCGAACCCGCACTGGAAAACGCCCCGGCGTGAGTTCCTACAATAGCTTAATATATAATTAGCGGTTAATGTGTACATAATGTATTATGTTATATGTTGGATGACTACATACATATATATATTGTATATCTACTGTAAGCACACGACTGTGTGTGTATGTGTCGTTGGAGTATGTCCCTCCTCTACATGAGAGGGGTTTGCCACAATCTCCGCAGACAGGCGGGTTGGAGATGACAGTGCTAAAGGTTCAGGATTCTGTATACCCGCTCGAAGAGCAGCGTTGGTGACAATAGTATTGTACTCTGCGAGTTGTGTGTGTAAATAGATGTCGATGTATAAACTCATTCCGTATGATACAGAGCCGGTAGAGGGCGCCACTGTGTTGTTATGTTAGCATATGTTATGTTTGGCTCTGACCTCAAATACTATGTCCGCTTATGTTGGAATATTTAAAAATAAAATATGAATTTTCTATTTTTTTTTTGACTGTCAATGTCAAAGTCAAATCATTTATGTCAAATCGACCACTATTGACACTTTTGAACGTCAAATTTAATAATTTTATATCAAGAGTTCTGTTATTCATTTTTTTATTCTATTTAGACGTTTCAAAAGTATCTGTTTATGGTTTAGTTGGAATAAATGATTTAGAAATTGTATATTTTTGATGAGACTGACCGTCGCTTGTTGTCATGTTTTGAGAAATTCTGTCAGTAATGTTTGTACAGCTAATTAATGAAGCAACTATCCTAATTAGTCATTCAATCAACGTCCTGAATGACTAGCTGTATGATTGAATGACTATTTCAGTACAATTTTGGTAGTGAACTGTCTATCTGTGATGGTGACTCGGTTTCTGTGTTGGTCACAGTACTAACCTAACCTAACCTACCACACTGACAGCTTCATTGATACATTCAGTACATTTAATGACTAATTTATATATGCATTGAAACAAGTTGCATTCCCAACAATATATGTAACGACACGAATACACGACAATGTTATAAAAATCCCAATTTTATTTTAATTATTTAGTTTCACAAAACTCAGATTTGTATGTGTGAAGTGGCAATGTGTTATAACTACACTAGTTGTGTGTGTCAACGAGCCAGTCTTGGTGACGTGGAGATATGGCGTGATGTATAAACACAATGCCGAGCTGGGGATTAAGTAAGTTGGTTGACGAGTTGCCTTTCCCCACCACCCATCCTTAATCCCTCAATCCACAAGTCCTTGAGAAGAAAAATCATCCAATCAGACTGAGAGAGAGTGTCAGACTCTTACTGACTACAAAACCATCCAGTTCATTCTCCTGCTAACAATCCACAAAGGTCGTGCACAAGCGTCGATAGCTCACTACTCAATACAGAAAGTAGTTTTAGTTTCTCGTCCTTCAGCTAGAGTCGACTGGATGTTGTGTTTATTCTCTTGTACCTCATGTATGTATCTCTCCCACGCAGAGTCCACAGTGTAACTGCATGTAGCCTCGCCGACTGGGAGTATTGTTTAGAACACATTGCGTGTTCAACATTCACGTGAAATATTGTAAAGACACTTATAGTACTGTATATAGGTAGGTACGACACGTTCACAGGATAATGTTTTTATAAAACTTAGCGGGAACTTGTCGCCCCGGCTGTTGTTGCGTCGGTTCATTATTACAATGATTATGTATCAAATTAAAATTAAATATTTATTCACAAGTTTTGGTGTTTTATTGACTGCAGTGTTGTAATGACGTATCTTGGTATTACAGTTCAGTTAACTAACAAACTGAACTTCTAGCTGAATGTATTTACGCTGACAGGGATCCTCGTGGAATGGCAAACTTTTTTTTTAATGGCAGCTGAGAATGGCAAACTTACTCTAATGTCAACAAGCTGACATTTGGCCACAGTGTTGCCAGGATTTTCAAGTTGTCAAGGGTTTATCAACTTGTTTTCTAAAATAAAGAATTTAGATGCAAATGACTCGAATTTATATTGTATTACGAAGAGAAAAGGTTGGCAATTGTGAATGAATAATGATATCTAGCATATGTCCAACACGACCACCCTGGTAGAGGTCCGCAATTCCAGCTTCTTCTTCGGTCCAGTGACACCTCCAGACCACATTACAGTACACGCCATACAGTAACACGTTAAGCATGCAAAGACTTCTCAACAATAGCTCAAGGATTATCGGAAGCCAAAAGTTGAATTCATTGTAACAATTGCCTAAGTTTCTTTTAGGAATTCATCATAAAACTATGTTTTTAAATGAGAGATCGGCAAACGAGCTTAAAGATTACCTGATGGTAAGCAATCAGCGCCGCCCATGGACACCCTCAACAACAGAGGAGTTACGAGTGTGTTGCAGACCTATTAGGATTGGGAGCGGGGAAGATTGGGCCTCCGGTAACCTCACTCACACGGCGAAACACAACGCTGTAGTTGTTTCACGTCGGTATTCTGTGAGGCCGTGGTATCACTCCGGTCGAGCCGACACATTCGTGAGGAAGCGTCACTAAATGTCAAAACTGTCCTGTTGTTGGTGTTGCCCCAATTGAAAAACAAAGCTCTTGATAAATAACCCTTTTTCATATACCGATTAGTGGAACGATATACAGTTTTGAATGTTGATCGAATATAAAGGCTCGCACGAATGTTACTCCTCTGATGTTGCGGGTGTCCATGGGGGGCGCTGATCTGAAGTCTAGAGAGGCACGACAAGAACCACAGGTAAGTTGCCGGCCTTAGGAGAAGGAGTACACTCGTTTCTTAAAGGTTTGAAGGTCGTTTCGGTTCAGAAATACCGCTGCTAAATGGTCATAGTTTTGCTGTGCAAGGCAGAAAGTTTAGCAAAAATCTTATATACTTATTATGGTATATTATGGTGATGAAAATGTGGGTCGAAGGGAAAAAGATGTGGCGGGAATCAAATAAAACAATACTCTAGAGCACTCGCCGTGATACAGGCCCTTATCCTCAATAAATCTGTCTCCTCGAACGAATGATGCAGCTTTATATTCATTAAGTAGGTACTGTATGTAATGTGAAGGTGTATGGATGTAAGTATTAAGCTACTTGACAATGAGCCTCGTTGGTACTCGGAGATGTGTGAAGCAAATATTCAAACAAATATATGAAGCATTAAGAGAATTCAGCATACAATGGGGTGCACTCCCAGCATAAGCATGACGTGAGAGAATAAATGGGAAGAATGTGCATAAAAATGCAAGTAGTCCGACTCAAACGGCGTCTAGATAAGCGCTAAAGTAAAAGTGCATTGATCTCTGTGTGAGTGCCTGCGAGCGTAGGTCGCGGTCACAGTGCACTTGCTCGTGTAAGTGTGTCGAGTCAAGTGTCAGGATCTCCTCGCAGAAGTTGGGTAGAATGATGGCGGCGTAGGCGGCGCAGGCACTAGTGATGGTTCTGGTGTAGTTGGGATCATCAGTCCCCGCGGGCGGCGGGCGGCGGGCGGCGGGCGCGTCCCCCGCGTGCTGGGGGCGCTGCGCGCGCGCACGCGGCACCTGCGCGCCACGCCCGCCGCACTGCGCGCGCTCGCGCTGCACGCCGCCGACACGCCCACCGTCTACAAGCAGGTACTGCACACTGCACACTCTTGCTCATCTCTACCTCACACCATGTCACACCCCATACCCCATACCCCATACCCCACACCCCATACCCCATACCCCACACCCCATACCCCATACCCCATACCCCATACCCCATACCCCATACCCTATACTCCATACCCCATACTCCAACACACCAATCCTCATTTCGCAGTTTCAATCCCAACAACACCATTCCCTATACACTCATCATGAAACTCCCCATACCCCATTCCCAATTTCGCCATACCCCATTCCCAATTACACCATACCCCATTCCCAGTTACGCCATACCTCATTCCCAATTACGCCATACCCCATTCCCCAGTCATTACATACCCCATTCCCCAGGCATGACATACCCCATTCCCCAGTTATGACATACCCCATTCCCCAGTTATGACATACCCCATCCCCCAGTTATGACATACCCCATTCCCCTACTTATACCCAGCGAGTAATCCAATATATGAACGCCCCCCAGATCGCGCTGCGCGCAGTCCGCGAGATGTCGCTGCCGGACGCATGCGCGGAGCTCGTGCTGGCCGAGATGGACAAGGACAGGTAGTGCGGACAGACAGACTGGCGTCCCATATAGTTAGAGTGGAGCCGGACAGTCTCTCATGGTCTGTGTCTGCAGGGAGGACGAGGGCGACGGCGAGCGAGACAGGCAGAGACAGGCAGAGCCCGACGAGCAGGGCGCGCTCGAGTGCTGCAGGTGAGTGAGCGGGGTGTGACGCGCCCGCGTCGCTCGTGACGGTGGTACAGCGTGTGTCTGTCCGCAGGACGCTGGGCGGCAGCGGGGCGCTGCGCTGCGCGTCGCCGGCGCCCGCGCTGCATGTAGCGCTCGGTCAGTTGTCCACTCTGCTCTCTCTCGCCACTCTCGATCACTGTCTGCTTTGCTTAGCGACACATTGTAATGTCTCAGACCTTGTGTCTCCAGACTCCTGTCGGCCGGCGCTCTGCAGGCGGGACGCGCCCGCCAGGCCCGCCGACGCGCCGCAGCATCGGTGAGTCGGGACGCAATCTTCTACCCCCCATCCCCCACCCGCAGGTCCCCCCAGTGCCCAATCCCCAACTCCAGTTCACTAAACTAAGACCCAATCTCCAATACCCCACCCCCATCCCGAATCTCCATACAAATATCCTAATCCCCATACCAATCTCCAATCCCAAATACCCCTATCTCCAATCTCCATGCAAATCTCCTAATCACCATACCAATCTCTTAACCCCCACCCCCAAACCACAACCCCATTTCCCATTCCACGTTTCCAATTTCAACCCCCAATTCCCAAATCGCACCTCCCCAATCTCCTAATCTCTCAATTACTCGAATCCTTAACCCCTAAAAGGCCCGGCAACGAGGTGGTAATCGTATCTCTTCTAGTCGTAAAAAGCAACAAAACAATAAATGAATATTGTCAGTTTTAGCGATTAAAGTCACTCTGTGAGCCCATGTTTATGGGTAGTATTGAATACATTACATATTATCATACATTTATTAGGATTTCTGTTTGTCATCTCTTTCCTCTACTTCAAAATTCACATTTAGTTTACTTGTAGATACTCACAATGCACATTATATTTATGTATTACATTCGCAATTGGTGCGTGCATTCTATTATAATATTAACGTTATGCACCTCAGAGTCTGTATGTGTTGATTGTCCTGCAATCAGTTGCTGCAGTCTCCGGCTGTGACTGTACACGTCGGAGTATTACCGTTTCTGTCCCGCAGACAGTCTCTGTCGTCGTGCTCGTCCCGGACGTCGGGCTGCGGCAGCGGGGGCGCGGCCGGGGGCGCGGGGGGCGCGGGGGCGCGCCTGTCCGCGATGGTCCCCGACGTGGCCATGGCGCCCAACGCCAACACCCACCTGCTCACTGCCCGCGACTACTTCCGCCATGCGCCGCCCTGGGGTAACTACTTTATCATCATCATCATCAGCTCACAACCGTCCCACTGCTGGACACCACCCTACCTCTTCCCTGGCTGTGTGATAATCCCTTCAAGTCACATACGGGGTCCCACACCACAGACACTACAGTGCTGATGTTCAGCCAGGGTTGCGGGGTAAGCGCAATGTGGCACTGCGACCTTGGCCTAAAACAGGAGAAGGAACGGGGGGTTTTAAGTCAGTAAGAGTCTGACACTCTCTCTCGCCTCACCCTGGGCGGGAGAAGTCATTTGACGAGTTTCCCCTGACAAAAAAAACATCATCATCATCGCTAGCCCACGCCGCCGCCCTGCTGGACAAGTCACGTACAACCACCCTACATCTTCCCCCAGTAGTAGGTACACGCGGTAAAGTATATTGGTGTCGCTTGACGTTGCAGAGTACAGCGGCGGCGCAGTACTGCAGCTGGACCTGGGCGACGGCGCCACGCATACTCCCAGACCAGGTCAGTGCTACTCTTCTACTTCATTCCTTCATTGCTGGAGTGATATAAATAGTGTTTATATACTGGATGTGGTGTATATATATATATATATATGTTGTGTACGGAGATATGTATAGACGGTCCTTGTGTCAGCTTTGAGTTGTCATGCTCACTGAAAGGTCGCATTGGCGGTGGCACGGTCACTGGATCGCTCGATTCCCTATATTATGGTTGAGTTGGGCGATGCTGGTGTACGTGTCATGCTCGTGAACGGACGCCGTCAATTGGGACTGGTCAGCTCCGGACTGTCTATTGTCCTTAAAGTTCTGTTGTCATATAATTGAACCAACTGTTTTTTTAAAAAGAGTAACCATGGAGTTTGTTGCTCGTTCTTCTCCATAGGAATCTACACTTTGGAACGAGCAAATAGCTTCACTAGAGGACTGACCGACAGACTGACACTTTATATCTTTAAGCTTTGTTTGACGTTCAAAAGTGTCTGTAAGGGTCTAATTGAAATAATGATTTTTGACTATGATTTTGACTTTGTAACATATTGCGCAGGGTCCCGCGCGGCGCGAGCCGGGGCGGCGCACTCACGGCCCTCGAGGGAACACGCCCCGGTCTGTATACATTGATTTTGTTTCACACTATTATTACATTTGTTGTACCGACGTCGTCAACATAAAGAGCTCGACTGGAGTGATACCACGGCCTCACAGAAAGCTGGCGTTAAACAACTAGGTTATAGGAGGCGCAATCCTCAACTCCCTCCATCTACTGCCCTCAAATCTCTTATCCGTAGATCCCTAACAACAAAGAGGGATAGGTCAGCAAACGAGCTTAAGATTACCTGATGGTAAGCAATCTGCTCCTCCCAAGGACACTTGCAATACCAAAGAAGTTTCTACGAGTGCGTTGACGGCCTCTTGGTTGATAGGGATTTACGCATAGGTGATTTGAGGATAGATGATGGCGGGCAGGATTAGGTCTCCGGAATCTCCGGTAACCTCACTTACACGGCGAAATATAACGTAGGTGGAATAACTCCGGTCGAGCCGACCCATTCGTGCCGAAGCATGGCTCTCCCACAATAGAATCTCTCGATGTTTATATCCAGTAATACTATCAGCAATATACAACAGAATATATTATTACATTCTCAAATGTACTGCAATGGTGATGTATATATAGTATGTCAGACTAAACCAGTTACATATTCGAGGAGCCGATTCTCGGTGTTCAAATTACAACAACTTTATACATGCGACCAATATCTCAAATCTCTAATTTCCCCATACAATCGCAACAGCTGAGTGATCATTGTGCATGGACTAGTAAACAAGGAGTTAGGTTTCCATATTGGTCTTATTGAAAAAGTTGTTCTATTTCAGCACCAGAATCTGCTCCTTATATATGTGCCTCGTTTACCTTAACACACTATATATATATATAGATTGTTAGATGTCTCATATATATAAAGAAATTAAATTTCTTTAAAGTATTTATGTGTAGTCCATGGTGTGTAGATAAAACAGTTCAAGTTTACACTTGGTTATGTATAGATGGCGCCACTGACATTATAATTGTCAGTGTCATTTACTCTGAATAAAGCAGAGGAGGTTTAAATATTATAATAATATATAATTCAGTAAAAGAGGAATCGACAAACCAATTAATAAACTTTAAATGTCGTTTCTTTGATATTTTCAGGTAGGATTTTGATTAAGTATTATTTTGTATTTATTGTAAAAATTTAAATATTATATTAAATAAAAAAATCTTTGATATTTTCAGAGCAACACAATTTATTATTTAAATTTAAAGTAATTTAAAGTACCTAATATAAGGGCCATCCATAGTTCGTCACATGTATTTAATGATTTTAAGACCCCCCTTCTCCCCCTTATCCTTGTTACAGTTGGTCACATTTCTTCGTCACATGTTTTGAGACCTCTCCCACCCCATGTCACACTTTGTCGATCCCGTCCCTGCCCCCCTTTACGTGTGACGTTAATTATGGATGCCCCCTTATAAAGCTGAACAGTTAGTTGACTAGTGGATCGAGTGGAAGTACTCTCTCTGTGCCGGACAGTGCATGTATCGAGGCAGGCTGTGTAACATGGCGCTGCGACAGATATCTAGTAATATATATTTATTTGTACGTTTGTGTGAGCAGGGTATATCGTGCCTGCGCAGTCGGCCCGACGAGGACGAGCTGCGCGCCGCCATCGAGCTCTCCGTCATTAGGGGTATGTGGACTGGGGGGAGGAGGGACAAGTGAGGTTTGAACCTAGGCGAGCTATCATTCACCTTTTCCGTTCTCCAGCATACTCATCGTCCCGCGCTCCAGCTGGTGCAGCCCCCCTCCTGCTAGGGGGCTCGCACCCCCAACACCCCCAGCACCCCCAGCACCCCGGCCTGCTCCCCCCCACGCACAGGGAGCGCTCGTCCGCCACACTCCCCCACGCGAGGGGGGACCGGCCGGGACTCGCGCAACTAGCGCCTACACACCATAATCGTACGTATTGCTGTCTTTACAAGTTGTGATTGTGTGTGTTGTTGGAGAGACGGATTACTTGAAGTTGAATATGTTCCAGCGGGGCGCAGCCGGGCCAGCGCGTCCCCGCAGCGCGGCGCCGACCTGCCGCCCGGGGGGGCGCATCATGGCGCCCGTATGTATACTCTACCTCCATACACTAAGATAGTGATTCTCTTCAGACATTACATCCATATACATATATACACTGTCTGTTAGTTAACTTCAGTCTTGCAACATTCGTCAGGGAAGGTTCAAATACAAAAACTATATTTTTCTGTCCGTCAGTGACATTATGATGATAGTCAAGCGACATGGCTGACATTACAATACATTCTACATGACAAGGTAGTTGTCTAGGTCGAAACTGAATTAATTCGTCGTTTCAATGTAATAAAATATTTAATAATAACTATATTTTTATTCATCGACTAAATTTTATATAATTATTGATGTTTTTTAAGCTTCTTGATGTAAAAATACTATGACGTTATAATTCAAAATTTCATAGAAAAGTATCGTTTGAAACATTTGCATAAAAGTATGAATCTGACTATTTGGGACTGCATCTATGCGGCTGCGACATTTGTAATAATATATTTGAATAGTTGATGTGTCCCTGACAGTGAGCAGACTGAGCAGCGTGGCGGCGGAGGCGAGCGGGTCCCGCAGCCCGAGCCCCGGCATGGGGGGCCCGGGGCCGGCTGCGGGGGGCGCGGGGCCCGCTGCGGGGGGCCCGGGGCCCGCGTCCCCCCGGCCGCATGACCTGCTGTACAGACACTACAGGTAGGTAACAACAGTAACATGAGCAGACAGTGTAGCGCGGCGTGTTAATGCCTTGCCCCGTCTCCCGGCAGACTGGAGCCGGCCTACTCGGGCTCCACTGCCGCCAGTCGCCACACGTACGCGTGAGGACCAGCCCAGCAGGTACATCCATCCATCCGCGCGTCCATCCACGCATACATCCCTCGGTACTCACACTAGTCTCTGTTGCAGTCGGCCCGCGACTCGTGCCTACACTGCTAGCGACACCCACTAGTCGCCCCACTAGTCGCCCCACTAGTCGCCGGCGACTGCACTCGTTTACAGACTCGGTGGACTAATCAGTGCTCACTCAGTGCATCCCCCCTTCCCCCCTACACTATGGACTGTATTCTGTAAGTGATGCAATCTCTAACGTATAAGGTCCAAAGTATGTAATCTGTTGACCTACTTGAGAGCGTGTACGCGGAGACATCAATAAACACAGAAACTGCTGAACCGATTTCAATGAGACTCTGTATAAAACAAAGGCCCTATATCCCTATGTACGCTTAAATCTTTAAAACTACGCAACGGATTTTGATGCGGTTTTTTAATAGACAGAGTGATTGAAGAGGAAGGTTTCTATGTATAATGACATCCATTAAATAGTGGAGACATTTATACTCAGCGTTGCTATTACGGATGGATGAAGGAATGTTTGTGAATGAACTTATAAACATTTTTACCTCTTTATATATTTTATACTAGCTCCCGCCCGGGGCTTAGCACGCGTATAATAATAAAGTACAAGTTTAAAACCAATCAAGTATAATTTACAGCCTACAGCACTCGGGAACATTGTAGCTGTCTATCAGTGAAAGAATTTTGTTCCAAAGATCCTCTTTATAATATGAGTTTAATTAAAATCTGTCCAGTAGTTTCAGTGCCGTATAGACACGCTTATAAAAGTGTATTTGAAAACGTGACATTACGCGCCAGTGGATGAATGATATAATATACTTGTACACGACTGGCTTGTAATGTGACGAGTGATAAAGCATTCCCTTACTTCCCCAACGAGTTTATTTTGTGTCCAGAATCATGATCAAATGATATTCAAAAACAGTAAATAGTTGCCTAAACGTTATTCCAGACTATAATCTATCTCTGTGCCAAATTACATTGAGATCCGTTCAGTAGTGTTTACGTGAGAGAGTAACAAACATACATCCGTACTTATACAGGATGTAAAAAGAAACTTAACGAAGCCGTTAACTACGCATACTGCAGTTCTAACTAAGTAGCTTTACGCTAAAATTATCACTGGGAAACGACTTTTATTTTTAGGCATCAAAAAAACAATTTATTGCGCGCGATGTAAAGCAAACGGGCTTCGTGTCATTGTGTGCGTAGGTTCACAGCTTAGCATTAAAACGCTGTGATAAGTACGTAGGTCGACGTTTTACCTCGCAACAACAAAACAATTCTGTAAAATAAAAATCCTACTGAGATGCACGATGTTTTTTGTGCGGGTCTGCATTTATTTATTACGTACATTACTGTTTTTTAACGAAAAAGGTTTTGTAATAATACTTAGAATTCGTTTGCGCAAAAATAATGCATCTTTGACCTTCAATATCTCGAGAACCCTTGGAGTCCCAGCTATGGTTTTAAAGAAAAAAATGATCCAAATAATGGGTAGAATACGTGGGTTTCGGCTTCGTTAAGTGTCTTTTTAGACCCTGTATAATTGTCGTATATTGCGACGTTGGACACAGAATATAAAGGTAGTTGAGGATCCTGTTCCCGTGATCTCACTATATACACGTGTGGTATATAATATACTTGTATAAAGTAAATTATCGTAATGTTAATATATTAATATATTGTTGTCGAGTCATTAACTACGTTTAAGTGTATTTTTAATATTTTCTATAGCCGTCTCTTTCTATCGTATTGAGTTGGAAAGAGATGGATAGATAGTTTTGTTTCACGAATTTACTATACTTACAATGAAGAAAAAGTTAATAAAATTGGTACATTATATGCATCTCTTTCTAATGTCATATGAGAGACAGAGATGGCTATAGTTGGTCGACGTATAGTGTATGTGTGGAGAGTAGTTCTGTCTGTCTGTACGTCAGCTGTTCTCGTCATCATCAGCTGGGAGACACCTTCAGCTGGGCAACGCCCCCCTCTAGATCCCCCCCACTAAAGTTATGTTGGTAATTCTCTCTCAATAGATGTCGCTGGTGTTGATAAAGGGCTCTTGGATTATCAGTGGGAAAAGGTCTTTACAAATTAATTAAGTTTTCAAGCAAGTCCGGGGTCCATAATCATTGATTTTTAATGTGACATTTACTAAGTTATAAATAACTTCTGAGTGTATTTAGACACCACTGACATACGGTGAAGGAAAACATCGTGAGGAAACCTCGACTTGTAATTAAGCTTCTCCGCCTGAGAAGAGGCCTTCGCCCAGCAGTGGGCACTTATAGCCTGATGATGATGATGATGATGATGATGATAAATTTGTTGTCGCGTTGAGTACAGACGTTCAGAGCGTCGAGTCAGACTGTCAGACGTGTCGGAACATTATAAATATAGCGAGTAAGTGTGTGTGTATGTTCGGACGTTGTCTCACAGAGGGCGCCAGTGTCGGCGTTGTATATTATGTAGATTGGAGCTAGTCCTCCTCCGAGAGGGACGTGATTGCTCGACGCGGGCATCGAACCCGCACTGGAAAACGCCCCGGCGTGAGTTCCTACAATAGCTTAATATATAATTAGCGGTTAATGTGTACATAATGTATTATGTTATATGTTGGATGACTACATACATATATATATTGTATATCTACTGTAAGCACACGACTGTGTGTGTATGTGTCGTTGGAGTATGTCCCTCCTCTACATGAGAGGGGTTTGCCACAATCTCCGCAGACAGGCGGGTTGGAGATGACAGTGCTAAAGGTTCAGGATTCTGTATACCCGCTCGAAGAGCAGCGTTGGTGACAATAGTATTGTACTCTGCGAGTTGTGTGTGTAAATAGATGTCGATGTATAAACTCATTCCGTATGATACAGAGCCGGTAGAGGGCGCCACTGTGTTGTTATGTTAGCATATGTTATGTTTGGCTCTGACCTCAAATACTATGTCCGCTTATGTTGGAATATTTAAAAATAAAATATGAATTTTCTATTTTTTTTTTGACTGTCAATGTCAAAGTCAAATCATTTATGTCAAATCGACCACTATTGACACTTTTGAACGTCAAATTTAATAATTTTATATCAAGAGTTCTGTTATTCATTTTTTTATTCTATTTAGACGTTTCAAAAGTATCTGTTTATGGTTTAGTTGGAATAAATGATTTAGAAATTGTATATTTTTGATGAGACTGACCGTCGCTTGTTGTCATGTTTTGAGAAATTCTGTCAGTAATGTTTGTACAGCTAATTAATGAAGCAACTATCCTAATTAGTCATTCAATCAACGTCCTGAATGACTAGCTGTATGATTGAATGACTATTTCAGTACAATTTTGGTAGTGAACTGTCTATCTGTGATGGTGACTCGGTTTCTGTGTTGGTCACAGTACTAACCTAACCTAACCTACCACACTGACAGCTTCATTGATACATTCAGTACATTTAATGACTAATTTATATATGCATTGAAACAAGTTGCATTCCCAACAATATATGTAACGACACGAATACACGACAATGTTATAAAAATCCCAATTTTATTTTAATTATTTAGTTTCACAAAACTCAGATTTGTATGTGTGAAGTGGCAATGTGTTATAACTACACTAGTTGTGTGTGTCAACGAGCCAGTCTTGGTGACGTGGAGATATGGCGTGATGTATAAACACAATGCCGAGCTGGGGATTAAGTAAGTTGGTTGACGAGTTGCCTTTCCCCACCACCCATCCTTAATCCCTCAATCCACAAGTCCTTGAGAAGAAAAATCATCCAATCAGACTGAGAGAGAGTGTCAGACTCTTACTGACTACAAAACCATCCAGTTCATTCTCCTGCTAACAATCCACAAAGGTCGTGCACAAGCGTCGATAGCTCACTACTCAATACAGAAAGTAGTTTTAGTTTCTCGTCCTTCAGCTAGAGTCGACTGGATGTTGTGTTTATTCTCTTGTACCTCATGTATGTATCTCTCCCACGCAGAGTCCACAGTGTAACTGCATGTAGCCTCGCCGACTGGGAGTATTGTTTAGAACACATTGCGTGTTCAACATTCACGTGAAATATTGTAAAGACACTTATAGTACTGTATATAGGTAGGTACGACACGTTCACAGGATAATGTTTTTATAAAACTTAGCGGGAACTTGTCGCCCCGGCTGTTGTTGCGTCGGTTCATTATTACAATGATTATGTATCAAATTAAAATTAAATATTTATTCACAAGTTTTGGTGTTTTATTGACTGCAGTGTTGTAATGACGTATCTTGGTATTACAGTTCAGTTAACTAACAAACTGAACTTCTAGCTGAATGTATTTACGCTGACAGGGATCCTCGTGGAATGGCAAACTTTTTTTTTAATGGCAGCTGAGAATGGCAAACTTACTCTAATGTCAACAAGCTGACATTTGGCCACAGTGTTGCCAGGATTTTCAAGTTGTCAAGGGTTTATCAACTTGTTTTCTAAAATAAAGAATTTAGATGCAAATGACTCGAATTTATATTGTATTACGAAGAGAAAAGGTTGGCAATTGTGAATGAATAATGATATCTAGCATATGTCCAACACGACCACCCTGGTAGAGGTCCGCAATTCCAGCTTCTTCTTCGGTCCAGTGACACCTCCAGACCACATTACAGTACACGCCATACAGTAACACGTTAAGCATGCAAAGACTTCTCAACAATAGCTCAAGGATTATCGGAAGCCAAAAGTTGAATTCATTGTAACAATTGCCTAAGTTTCTTTTAGGAATTCATCATAAAACTATGTTTTTAAATGAGAGATCGGCAAACGAGCTTAAAGATTACCTGATGGTAAGCAATCAGCGCC